GGGTGGGGTGTTTGTCTCAGGTGCTTGTGTTCACGCCCTCAACTTGTGAGGGGTCTTTCATACCACAAGTATCAGCCCTGGATGACCTGTACATTTTCCATTGGATGATTAAATTGGTGATATACTGTGCCATAGATAAATTTGTTAACATAGTTTTTTAAGTGATGAGAGACAGCACTTTGAGTCAGAATTAGGGTTAGTCAGATGGCGGAGCAGGAGCGTCTGTACCGAGACACAGAGGTGGAGCCCAGAGACACACCCCCATCAGAGCCGCTGAGACACGGAGGTGCCCAGAGAGGCGCCTACCCCTCCACTCCCGCTCCTGGGGTTGGGGTGGGCGGAGAGGCTGAGTCAGGGAGGGGAGAGCCCCCCCGAGGGCGTCCGGCCCCCACCCCCGTGTCTCCGGTCTGTCCCGGTCAGGCTCTGCTGGCAGCCAACCCCCCCATCTGACACCTCTGTGCGCCCCGCCAGAGCTAAACCTGTCCCAGCCCCTGTCCTCGCTGTCCCCTCCTTCCTCTGCCCCTCCCCTGGCTCCGTCTTCTCTATGGCGGGGGGGGGGGGGGGGGTCCTGTCTCTGCAGCTCTGTCCACATCTCCCCTGTCACTTTTCATCTCCCCTCTCTCAGGCCCTTCCCTAACTGCTGCTTTGCCCCCTACGTCTTTCTCCTTGTCTTTCCCTCCCTCTCAATCTCTGCTTCCCCATACCTTTCTGTAGCAGCTCCTTGGCTTCACCCTCATTTGTTCCTACCCCTCTCTGCTGTCTCCTGGCCCACCCCCCTTGTCCCCCCTCTGTTGGTCTCTCCCAGATCCTGGGAAGCCCAGCGGGAATGTGTGGGTCAGGATTTCACTAGTGGCCCCTGGGAACCCAGGATGAGGGGTCACCACCTCGCCCCCACCCAGAAAGGGGGTGGGAAGGGGCAGCGAGGCTGTGGCCTGTCTGGCCAGAAGGAAGTGACTGTGCTGTGGCCTGGTCACCCCCGCCCCCAAGGACCTGCCGGGCTGCTACCGCCCCCGGGCTGGGGCCGAGTAAACACAGCCGCCGGCAGCTCAAGATATTTATACCGCGGTCCGGGCGTGGGTCCAGTGCCCACCACAGCCCCTGCCCTGCCCTGCCTGCCACAGCCAGCCCCGAGCCAACGTGGCACCGGCCGGCAAGGGGACGCGGCCGCAGGCACAGCCAGCCTCCACTCGGCACGGAGGCCACTGGGCTCGTCACTCGGGACGCCAGCAGCCTCACTGGGGACACAGGATGCCCCCCTACCCTGGAGACACCAGCACAAATGCAGCCCTGCACGGGCAGCTGCCCGTGAACGTGAGCACACACTCCACCGAAAACTCCAAAGCGACAGCGCAAAATAGAGACCCACGCAGCTGCTCACACACTGAAGTCATCAGCCCACATGTGGGGACACAGAATGCAGACACCACCTGCTCACAGACCCCACAGGGGCTGAGAACACCAGTCCCGGAGATGGACACGCACACACACCGCGAGGACAGCAAGCATGTGGCAGACACACCCCTCAGACACAAACATGCTCAGAATACCAGCAACACACACTGATCATGAAACAATGTAACCCAGAAGCTGCTCGCCCACAGACGCACTGGGAACTGTTACACACACATACTGAAAACAGCCTGAGCAGGAAACACAACACACACACACACACACCATACCTCCTGGAAACACACTTTTCTCACAGACCCATAAACACACGTCTACTCAAACTTAAGCCAAGAATGTACAAATTTACACCCAGAGAAAAGCAAGGGTGTTGAGAAAAAAGATCTAGACACATAACACACCCCAGGGTCACAACCAACTTACACACACAGACTAACCGTGTCACATGGTGTCAGAACACAGAACCCAAGCGTGCAGGCCAGCTGTACAACAGAAACACAAAGCAGGTGCAAGCGCCACGAATGCAGTACAGTCACACACACACACACATTCACATCAGAAACACGAAAGACACCACCAACTGGATGTCCAGAGATGGAGGGAGAAAGGGATTTTCTCTCCCTGCACCTCACCGCCCCCCTCCCTTTTCTCCCTCTGTCGCTGACCCTGTCCCAGGTCCCAGGCACGTCTGGGGGAGGGGACAGGAAGGCCTGGGCTGGCCTCCCTCGGCCCCGCTTCCTGCCCCGTGGGGGCCGGACGGGAAGCTGGGGCTCCAGCCGGAACCCAGGCTCCCCCCATGACTTCCCTCCCCGCCCGGGCTGCCCGCGGAGGCGGGGGAGGGGAGCGGCGGGCCCCCCGAGCCCCCGGGTTCGCCTGCAGCTGGCTGGCGGCCGGTCCCGCCAGGTCCGGACCGGGCCCGGCCTCCCCGCGGGGGCCCGGTGCCGGGAGCGGCCCGGAAGGTGCTGAGCCCGCAGCTTTCCCTGCCCCCGGCGCCCGGGCAGGTGGGCGGGGTGTTCGGCCCCGTGCGCGGCCGGGACTTGTCCCGGGCCCAGGCGCGAGCTGGGCGTGTGAGGGCCGCGGCCCCGGGGGTGTGTCTGGGTGTGGGGGACTCTCCGTCTGGGCCCCGGGGTGTGACAGCGCGTCTGGGTATGACGGGGCGGCCGCCGTCCGGAGGGCCGTGGGGGACTCCCCGGGCTGCGCGTGTGGAGCGGCCGCTGTCAGGCCGAGTGGGCACGGCCGCCCGCTCGGCGGTCTGCGCGGCCCTGACGTGTCAGGTCTCCGTGTGTGGGACGCGCCCGGGTGGGGCCGTGACGTGTCAGGCCGCGTGCGTGCACGCTGTGCCTGTGGGTGACGGTGACCCCTCGGAGGATGTTTGTGTAACTGCTGGTGGGTCGCAACCTGAGACTGTTTCATTTCCTGAGCGGCACGGATGCCGCGAGGAGTGTGTGCCGGACACTGCTCTTCCTCTCTGTCTGCTGTGCGGTGGTTGTGACCAGGACCCCACAGAAAAAACTTGTGTCACTGCGTCTTGCTGTGTCCCTGTTAGGTCTCTGCTTATGGTGTGTCCCCACGGAACTCCAAGGCTGGGCTGTGGGCACGGAATGGGGCGCTGTGTCACCTTGGCACCAGGTCTCCCGGTCAATGACTCGTGGGTCCCACAGGTGTTTGTGTGTGTCCACTGTGGCACTCAGGCGACTGGGACATTGTGGGACCTTTACCCATATCTGAACCTCTGTGTGAATGTGAATGTGTGCGTACATATGCCACATCCTCTTGGGGCCACAGTGACTACTATTCATATCCTTGTGTCCTTGCCGGCATCTCCACACAAGAGGCTGGTAACAATGGCGACACGTCCTTGAATAGAGACCTCCTCTGGTCCCCCAACTCACGCCCTGCCCCTTTATGGCTCCCAAACCTGGGGCAAGAGGAGTGACCACATGTCTACCGTGGGTCTGGGCTGGAGGAGGCACATGCTGGGACTCACACATCCAGACCTAGAGCCGCTGCACCCCCCAACAAAAGAAGCTCAGCACTCACACCATCAGGGCAGTCACTGACCAAAACAGATTAAGGAGATGGGCAAGGGAGAGACGGGAACTGAAACCAGGGAGGAAGAGGAGAAACTGAGAGGCCAGAGAAAGAGGAAGCAGGGGACAGTTCACCAGCAAGACCCCAGCGGACGGGAACAGAGCAAAGGGAAAGCCACCCCAGCTCAGGGTGCTGTCACTTCTCTCCTGGACAGTTGGTCTCCCTGGGGTCACCCTCAACCCCCTTCAGTCTGCTGTCAACCATCAGCCAGAGGGAACCTCTCAGCAGGTCAGATCACATCCCTCTTCTGTTCAAAACCCTGTCATGGTGCCTGCCTCCCTCAGAGAACAGGTTCCTTGATGGGGGTCTGGAAGGTGTGACCAGTGCAGAAGTCACGTGCATAAACCCTCAACTCCAGCTGCCTGGATTCGAATCCCAGCTCTGCCATTTGCTAGCTGTGTGACCTTAACAAGTCACTTAACCTCTCTGTGCCTGTTTTCCCATCTGTGGAGTGGGGAGCAAATGGTCCCTGTAGCAGGAGTTGTCAGGCTTTTCCTATCAAGGGTCAGATAGTAAAGGTTTTTGACTTTGCACAGTTTCTACTCAGCTCTGCCCTTGTAGTGCTAAAACAGCCACAGACAGTACAGTAGGGAATGACCATGGCTGTGATCCAGTAAAACTTTATTTACAGAAACAGGCAGCCTGTCAGATTTTGCCTCAGGAGACAGTTTGCCAACCCCTGCTTTCTTGAGCTGTGGGGAGAATGCCATGAGCTAGAAGCTCCATACCTGGCGTGGAGAATTGTTGTTATTACTCTCTGGGCTGTGAGTGTTAACTTTCTGACTCAGATCTTAACACCCTTCCCTATGCCCCTCCCTTCTAACCGCACTGGCCTCTTTCCTGTGTAGCTTACCCCAAGTTCATCTTCACTTCCAGGCCTTTGCTTTTTGTCCTCCTACCAAGAACACGCTCCCCGATCCTCACCCAAGCTGCCATTTTGGCTTCCTTCAAGTCCCAAATGCCACCTCCTCCAAGAAGCCCTCCCTCCTCCCCAAAGCCATCCCTAGCCCATCCTGCTTTCCTGTTTTTGCCCAACGCTACTATGTCTGTCGCCTCCCCAGAAAGGAGGTTCTTAGTTGGCAGGAACAATTCCTTAACCTCTCTGGGCTTCGGTTTTCTTAAAGTGGGTGTTAACAATCTCTTTATCTCAGAACTTTGTTATGGTGGTTTAAAAAGTTAATTAATATAAGGCACTTAAAATAGGGTCCAAGGTGTTCAAGCAAGAAACCTAACAATAAATAAATCTAAATGTTCACTAGGAGTAAGGAATGTTAACAAGCGCAAAGGAAGTTTTTGTGTGAAGAGGGGCAAATGAATAGTGGACAAAGACAGGAGGAGGCAGATGGAGGGGAGGGAGAGGGGTGAGAGAACGTCGGAAGGGAGAACGCCATTAGGCGCCCAACGATACAGAGACCCAATCCTCTCGCCACCTTTAATGGACCCCAGGTGGGCTTGATAGGGGGGCGGGGTGCTGTGTCCTTAAATACAGTCCTGGTGTGGCTTTGGGGTGGGCGGGGCCTCAGCTGCACTTGCAGGAGCGCACGATCATGTTGGACAGCTGCTCCACCTTGGGCTTGCGGCCCACGTAGTACACGATGGGCAGGGGCTCCAGTGCCTGAGGCACGCAGCACGGTGCCGCCGACGCGCCCGGGTTGTGCTGGTTGTACAGGGCCAGGACCTGCGGGGCGGGTGCGCGGGGTCAGGGTCAGGGGTCGCACGGAGGATGCCGCCACCCTGCCAGCCTCTCCCCATCTCCCTGTCTTATCTCACTCCAGGTCTTTCTGGTTCTCTGCCTCTCCCCATGTTCCACTCTTGGCTTGTATCTCACTGTCCTTCTTCCATCTTCCGAATTCTCTACCCTCCTGCCTTTTTCTCTCTCATTCTGTCTGTCTTTTTCTTTCTCCTTCCATGTCCCCACGTCTTCCCACGCCCTTTATCCGTCTCCACGGGCTAAGTCACTTTAGTCGTGTCCGACTCTGTGACCCCATGAACTGTAGCCTGCCAGGCTCCTCTGTCCATGCAGTTTCCCAGGCAAGAATACTGGAGTGGGCCGCCATTTCCTTCTCCAGGGGATCTTCCTAACCCAGGGATTGAACCCACGTCTGTCTCTTATGTCTCCTGCATTGGCAGGTGGGTTCTTTACCACTAGGTCTCCCCATATCTCTGTCTCCCACTCCCTTGAGTCTAACTTTACAGACGCTGCCTCGAGCTTTTCTCCCACCCCATTATCACCTCCCCTCCAACCTCCCTCTCCCCTGTATTTCGGACTACCATCTCGCCAATTCATCTGATTTGACTTCTCTTTCTCCCTCTCTTCCCTTGGTTTCTGCTACTCGCATCCCACCCCCAGCTGGGGAGTTGGGGGGGTGTCAGGCTCCAGACGCACCTTGCTGTACTGCGTGTCCAGGCTCCAGATGTAAGGGCAGGGCCCCAGGCAGAAATTGGCGTGGTACCCCTTGGGTTCGTGAATCCACTTCCAGCCCAGGTCCTTGCGGAAGTCAATGTAGAGCTGACGAACACAGCAGTTCTTTTCTGTGGAGCTGCAGGCGGGAGGGAAAAACACTGTCAGGAGAGCAGAAGGCTGCCCCTCCTCCCCTGGAGTGTGTGTGTTTCACCCTGGTTGCCCTCCAGCACCTTATCCAACTTGGTCTCCCTTGCACCCTCTGTGATAATAACAGCAATAATAGTAATAATAGTAGTGATCATCGCTAACACTGGTAAAGCACTTCCTCTAGTCCAGCACTGCACTAAGGGCATCCTCATAAGCATTATCTCAGACAGCACTCAAAACAAGCCTGTAAGGCGCCAAATGAGGGGAGTTCCCAGGGAGACATCCAGTGGTTAAGACTCCAAGCTTCAATACAACAAAAGAAACAAACAAACAAAAACCAAACAAACAAAAAAAGACTCCAAGCTTCCACTGTAGGGTGCGTGGATTCCATCCCTGGTCAAGGAAGTTCCACGTTGCATGCTGCACAGTGCAGCCACAAAAAAAAAAACAACCCAAGCCTACAGAAGCCAAATGACTGTCCACAGGGGACAGCTACACAGATCACACCACATCTACACACTGCAACATAAACAACACAGTGCAGGGCCATGCGCTCTGATATGTTCTAAGTGTGCAACAAATGTTTACTGAACTACTACTGCGTGTTGGGCTGGGGTCTACTGGGGACTCAGTACAAATGAAACAGACAAACCCCTGCCTTCTGGGGCCACATACTAGAGACTGTCATGTCGCTCCTCTGCTCTGAACAAGCCCAATGCCCAAGTCCTCGCCACAGGCTCAAGGAGCCACCAGATCGAGCTGATCTCAACTCCCTCCCCACTCCCCCTCTCACTGTCCTCTGGCCACTTTAGCATCCTCACTGTTCCTGAGTCCCAGTCCAGGACCTTTGCAGGTGCTGTTCCTTCTGCCTGACTTGCTGTTCCCACAGATACCCTCTCTGGCTGTTTCTTCACTCCATTTATACATATGCTCAAACATCCTTCACTTTGGGGAGTCTTCACTCCTACAACACTGCCTGGCATGCAGTAGGTGCTCAATAAATATCAGTTAAACAAATGACGTCATTGCCTCAGAGACCGGCCTGGATGATCCTACCCAAAATACCAATCTAAATAATTAATTCCTAGGGACTTTCTGGGCAGTTCATTGGTAAAGACCCTGTGCTTCCAATATAGGGGGCATGGGTTCCATCCCTGGTCAGGAAAGATCTCACATGCCATGAGGCGCAGCAAAAAAAAAGATTGTTAATTCCATTTCGTGTAATAACAACATTTCAATTCTGCAAGAAAATATAAAAATGTCTGCAACTGAAATGGGGCAAATCTTAATGCCTGATGATCTAGATGAGAGTATACAGGGGTTCATTTTATCATCTTGTTGCTTATACATTTAAATGTTTCCATAATAAAAAGTTTAAATCAGAATAGGGAAAACAAATCATCACAATTTCTTTCTTTCCTTCTTCTTCCTTGGATTTATATTCATTCTTAGAACTTACTGCCACCTGCTCTTTCATTAGAGATTGATTTGTTTATCTGTTCATTTCCTGTCTTCCTCCGAGGACAGGACTTTTTGTCTATTTTGTCCCTAAAGGTGTCCTCCCTGCCTACAATAGTCCCTAGCACACAGCAGGTGCTTAGCAAGTGTTGGCTGTATAAATTAATTGATCAATATGTTATATTTTTTAGAAGCACATCAGAGAGTGGTGGTGTGTAAGACTACTGCCATGAACTCATGATCTCTGTCCCAGGCTTAGATGCAAAAGTCAGTCCTCGGGCTTCAGTCCTCAGTCCTGGTGGCTCAGTGTAAAGAATCTGCCTTGTGATGAAGGAGACATGGGTTTGATCCCTTGTCGGGGAAGACCCCATATGCTGTGGAGTGACTAAACCTTTGTGCCACAACTATTGAGCCTATGTTCTAGAGCCGGGGATCCACAACTACTGAGCCTGTGTGCTGCAATTACTGTAGTCCATGCACTCTAGAGCCCGTGCTCTGCAACGAGAGAAGCCACTGCAATGGGAAACCCACACAATGCAACTAGAGAAAAGCCTGCACAAATATAATAGAAGTCTGTTCAGAGGGGGACTGAGGGGTCAGAACTGGAGAGTCTTTGAATATCCTTTCTAGGTTTGGTCCATGTGCATGTATTTTCCTATTTAAAAATTAATACAGAATTTCCTACAAGGCAGGACTTTTTTTTTTTTTTTCAATATGTATTTGGCTGTGCCAGGTCTTTGCAGCAACGGGCGAATTCTTTGATTGCTATATGAGGACCTTAGTTCCCTAACCAGAGATCGAACCCAGGCCGCCTGCGTTGGGAGTGTGGAGTCTTAGCCACTGGACCACCAGGGAAGTTCCAAGGCAGGTATTATATTATTATTCCAATTTGAAGGAGGAATAAACTGAGCCTTAGAGAAAGGGGGATGCTGTCTGTCCAAATGTAGGCTGTGGGTGGTAGAGTTCAGGGCCAGAGGTCTCTGACTTCATTTGCCCAGCCCAACCATGCCAGCTCAAGCCAAGCGGGAGGAGGCGATGCCACAGGCTCTCCCAGGGCAAGACAAGGCCTTTCCAAGAGCCACAGGACCTCAAGAAGGAAGTCAGGAAACAGATTCCTGTGAGCTCAGCCTGATCCCTCCTCAGTCTGGTTAGGCCTCAGTTCCTTCATCTGTACAAAGATGCAGGGCACGTTAGATCAAATAAGATACTGTTAAGGGCCGAGGAGACATCAGGAAGTCCATGGACAGGCTCAGGGAGGGGTCTGAGCTCTCTAAACCAGGCACACATATGTGTGGTGGTGTTTAGTCGCTAAGTCATGTCTGACTCTTCTGCGACCTCCTGGACTGCAGTCTGCCAGGCTCCTCTGTCCATGGGATTCTCCAGGCAAGAATACTGGAATGGGTTGCCATTTCCCCCTCTGGGGTATCTTCCTGACTCAAAGATCAAACCTGTGTTTCCTGTAGCTCCTGCATTGCAGGCGGATTCTTTATCGATGAGCTACCAGGGAAGCCCACATATGTGTGTATATATAGGCATATTCTGGGGGAAAAAGGTTCCTGGCTTTCAGCTTCTTGAAAAGGTCTTAGATTCACAAAAGGGAAAGCAGCACTGTCCAGAAAAATCTATCATTTCTGGTCCAGCTCTGCTGGGGTGCTGAGATCCTCCGATTTGAAGTATGTGATTCCATTACCCAACTCAACTGCTCTCCATGTGGGGTTCCTGGAGCAGCCGAAGCAGCATCGCCTGGGAACTTGTGGGAGATGCAAGTTCTCAGGCCCCACCCCAGATGCACTGAATCAGGAACTGGGGGGTGGGGATGGCTGGGAGACAGCAGGCCACATTTAACAAGCCCTCCAGGTGACCCTGAGCTACTCTCTAGCCCTGGATGTTGAGGAAAGGGTCACGGAGGCTTCCCAGTGGAGATAGTGGTTAAGCTAAGAATAACTTTTTATTGCGGAAAGTCTCGGACATACACCAACCCACTCCAGTAGTCTTGGCTGGAAAATTCCATGGACAGAAGAGTCTAGCGGGCTACAGTCCATGGGGTCGCAAAGAGTCAGACACGACTGAGCACAGCACAGGCATGGGACATACACAAAAGCAGAGAATCTTACATTTAACTGCTGTGTCTCTACCATCCAGCTCCAACAAACATCAAGTCATGGTCAGTTTCACTGTATTTCTACCCCTATCCACTTTCTCTCCTTCACCGAATGATTTTGAAACCCACGTCATCCACCGTATTATTTCATCCATAAATATTTCTATCTCCAAGGAAATCTAGACTACTTTAGAGCATCAAAAAAAAAATTAACGGTAATTCCTTGATATCATCAAATATCTAGTCAGAGTTCATACTTCCCCAACTGTCTCTCATAATTATCTTTTGAATTATTTTATTTTTCTATTTTTTAGCCATGCCGTGCAGCATGTGGGATCTTAGTTCCCTGACAAGGGATGAAACCCACATCCCCTGCATTGGAAGCACAGAGTCTTAAACACTGGACTACCAGGGAAGTCCCAATACCTTTAAAAAAATAAGAAAAGAAAAAGTTTGGGGAATTCCCTGGCGGTCCAGTGGTTAGGACTCCATGCTTCCAATGCAGGAAACATGGGTTTGATACCTGGTCAGGTTAAGATCCTGGAAACCATGAAGCGAGGCCAAAAAGCAAATAAGTAAATACAATTTTAAAAACAGTCTGCATACATACTCAAGTAAAGTTTATACATGGCTATTGGTTGAAACATCTTTTAAGATTCTTTTAAAAATCTTTAAACCCATCTCTCTATTTCATCCCTTTGTATCATATTTGTTGAAGAAACTGGGTCAGGTTTCCCACAGTCTAGATGTTGCAGACTGCATGCCCATGGTGCTGTTTAAGGTGTTTCTCTGTCCTTGTATTTCTGGAAACTTGGGAGTTGGACCATTATTGATGGGCTTCAGGTTTGATTTTTTGGCAAGACTTCCTAAGTGGCACTGTGTCGCTCACATGGCTGGCTGCCTCTCTTTTAATGTTATAGCAGACTGGCACTCAGACTTTAATCCATCCATTCATTCATAGAGTTGTTGGGCAGAGGGTAGGATCGGGTGATGAAGGACCTTGGAAACGGAGCTGACTTTCCAGCAGGAGAAGTGCATGCAACAAAGCCCAAAGGCACCATCAAAGTACTTAGCAGAGGCAGGCCAAGGTCAGATTATCATTTTAAATTTGCGACATTCTAACTCTCAATTTCAAAATTCCAAGACCACAACTTCTCAGTTTTCTTAGACTGCAATACACTGGCATCTCAAGATTCTAACACAGCAACAGCTTTCCAACTTTCTAGAATTCCCACATCCCCACTCTCGAGGATCTTGGCATTTTTTTTTTTTTTTTTTGATCTTGGCATTCTTGAATTCCAATATTTCAAAACAGCATTCCAGCATTCCACAGTTCTGAGCCCATCTCCCAAGAGGTCCAAGCTGCCACTTTCTAAGATTACAGGCTTCCAAGATTCTAACAAGACTACAGCACTGGGACTTCCCTGGTGGTCCAGTGGTTAAGAATCCACCTGCCAATGCAGGGGACATGGGTTTGATCCCAGGTCAGGGAAGATCCCAAATGCCCAGGAGCGATTTAAGCCCACAAGCCGCAGCTACTGAAGACCGAGCACCTAGAGCCCATGCTTCTCAACAAGAGATGCCTCCTCAACTAAAGCATGCCCAAGCAGCAGTGAAGATTCAGCGCAATCAAGAATAAATAAGACTGAGCCCCAACATTCTAAGGTACCAGCATTCTGGCTTTCACCAACTCCAACATTTATGGATGCTAAAAGTTCAACACAGGATTCCACCATTGTGGACCTAATATTCAAGGACTCCAACCTGCCAACATGGGAGATTCCAGTCTGTAAATGGTACCCATCATGGGCAATCTCCCGGTTCTGAATTCCCAACCTCTAAGAACCCAACATTCCTTGAATCCAACATTCTCAGACTTCAATAATTAATACCGAATTCTAACATCCTAGAATCCCAACGTTTTCAAACCCCAACCTGCCCACAGTACAGGAATCTAACATGGTGACCTTCCAATGCTGAAATCCCACATGTTCAGTGTTCCACATACTAATAAGTCTCCGATGCCAACCAACCAGCAAGAGACCCGCCTGATCTCAACATCCGAGAACTCCCAGTTCACACACACTCTAGCATCCGAGGCTCGGACCTCGCGTCCCCTGAGCCCTCCAAGCTGAAGGAGGTGCTAGTCCAAGCAGAGCACCAGCCAGGTGCCCAACCTGCGGTGGCCACTCAGTGAATGGTGAGGATGGCCCCAGCCCAGAAGGCTGCAAGGTTCACCTGAAGCAGTAGTTGGTGTCCAGGGCTCGGCGGTGACGGGAGCTGTGCAGGTGCTGGGCCCTCTCCAGAGGGGTGGCCATGAGGAGCAGGAAGGGCCGGTTCATGCCGTGAATGGTGGCGAGGTCACCCCGGCGGCCAGAACTGAACCCTGCTTTGGTTTTGGGAGTCAGGGGGGTGGGGAAGATTGGGGACACACACACACACACACTCAGATGGATGAATGACGGGGATGGGCGGGAGAGGACACACACACACACAGACACACATCACTGCTGGGGGGGGCAGGGAGGGGGCCTCACCGTTAATGTCCACTTGAAGCGTGTTATCTTTACTGTCACAGGAACAGTGGGCACTGAGGCGAAAGCCCTCTATTTCCTCTGTGGGAGTGGGGAGAGGGAAGCCAGTGTGAGGGGGGCGGCTCACCCACCCCTGCGGGTGGGCAGGAGAGGAAGGAAGGCGCAAACCTCTGGGGTGTGGGGGGATCTCTTTCTTGCGCCTTACCCTGCCTGCCCCCTCATTGCACCCTCTCGCTGCAGTTCTTGGCCTTGCGGCCTCCTCCTCCTCCTCCAGGTCTCAGCTCCAAGGCCACCTCCTCCGGGAGGCCCTCCGGGACACAGCCCCTCCCCCGACCCTGACAGCACTTTCTTTTCTCCAAAGCACTGACCTCTGTAGCTCTGACATTTGTCTTCGGCTATTTATTTCCTCATTGTTCTCAGTGACGAGCAGGATACAACGGGGGCAGGGAACCTTGTTTTCTTGTTCCCTGCTGGGCCTGGCCCACAGTCTTACAAACAAACATCTCCTGAGTGCGCTGGGCGCCAGACCCTGTTCTAAACACTCTTTGTGAGTTATTTCCTTTAATCCTCACCAAAGTTCCCCATTTTACAGATGAGGAAGCCAAGGCCCACAGGCAGGGCTGGGATGGGATGCAAGGACCGAGGCTCCTGTCCCAAAGCAGGTGCAGAAGAAAGGTTTTCCTTCTTCCTTTTATTTTTTTAAATATACAAAACAAAAAGTAACGGTTTTTATTAACATTTTTTGAAAGAAGAGTGCATTAGTCACTCAGTTGTGTCCAGCTCTGCGACCCTATGAACTGTAGCCCACCAGGCTCCTCTGTCCATGGGATTCTCCAGGCAAGAATACTGGAGTAGGTAGCCATTCTCTTTTCCAGGGCATCTTCCCAACCCAGGGATTGAACCTAGTCTCCTGCATTACAGGCAGATTCTTTACCATTTGAGTCACCAGGGGAGCCCTTTTGAAAGAATATGTATATCTAATAATCATAGCAGAGTTTATCAGCTGTTCTTATTTTTTAAATTAACTTTTAGCAGAGTGTAGTTGCTGTACAATGTTGTGTTAGTTTCTGCTGCTGCTGCTGCTGCTAAGTCGCTTCAGTCGTGTCCGACTCTGTGCGACCCCACAGACGGCAGCCCACCAGGCTCTGCCGACCCTGGGATTCTCCAGGCAAGAACACTGGAGTGGGTTGCCATTTCCTTCTCCAGTGCATGAAAGTGAAAAGTGAAGTCGCTCAGTTGTGTCTGTACAGCAAAGTGAATCAGCTGAATGTATACATATATCCCGGAAGAAAGGTTTCTCGAATGAATGACTGAATGAATGCTTTCCTAAGCACCCACTATTGTGTGGACCCTGTGTTGGGTGCTCTGGACTCAGCAGTCAGCCCAGAACACTTGCCCCAGTATGCACCTGCTCCCTAACCTCCGTCATTTCCTCTGGCCAAACCATCACCTCTTCCATGAGTCCCAATACAATCATTCTCACCCAGAAAGCCCTCTTGGACCCTCCTCAGAGGTGTTAGGGGGCCCACTCTGGGCTCCTATAGCACTTAGGGTCTCCCCCATCCCAGCCCTGCTCATCCTGGCCATCATGGCCTGCTAAGGCTTTGGGCAAGATTTCCTGAGTGTCTAGAAGTGAGTGCGGGTCCCCTGAGGGCAGGCCTAGAGGTTGTCATGGTTACCACTGTGTTCCCCCACCCCACCAGCACAGGGCCAGCCAAGAGCAGGAACCTACTAGCATTTACCGATGAAGGAATGAATGAGAGGGAGACTAGGAAGGGAGATGTGAGCACTGGGGCCTTTGACATGACAGGACAGATAGTCCTCTTCCAGACAGAAGAGGTGTGTCAGGCCTTCCCCGGACTCAAGGCCTCTGCACAGCCTATCCCTCTGCCTTGAACACTCTTGCCCCTCCCTCCTTTCCCGGGTTGGCCCCATGCATCCCTCAGACACCCACTCCAATATCTCCTCCTCCAGGAAGCCCTCCCTGACCTCCCAGGCTGCATCAGGCACCTCCTCTGGGCTCCCCATCCCAACCCTGCCCACGCTGGGACATCACTACCTGGTTTTCAGGTCTTTTCCCCAAGTCCCCCAACCCAAGTCATGGAGCACGAGCTTCCTGAAGATCAGGATGAAGCTGTTTTCGTCACTTCTGTGTCTCCAGCATCACCCAGCACAGGGCAGGTGCTCAAGAAATGGATTAACCATTAATCACTCAGGTGTGAGTATCTGGGAGGAGGGCCAGGTCTGGGCTCTTCAGCACCAACATAGGGCAGGGGGGTGCTAGGCAGGATGGTCCCAGGACAAATAATGGGTTACAAAACAGAGGTGGGGCAGACAAGTGGTCCTCACCTCTGTGGGTCAGCCACTGCCGCACAACTCCAGTGACGTCAAAGGACAGCCACTCCGGTGAGTCGCTGGGGGCGAGCAGCCGGTTGCTGAGGTAGCGCCAGGAATTGTTGCTATATTTCTGGGGGATGAAGAATTGGGGGGTGAGACAGTGGGTAGAGGCTGCCACACACACCCATGTACCCTGCACCCCTCAATCCATCTGCTCCCCAAAAACGGGTCTCCACACAGTCCATCAGATAGTTCCCCTCCCAGACATCCACACTGAGGGGTTTCACAGGAACCACCCAACCCCACGACAGGGGACAGAAAACTCCAGGCTGGCAGTCAAGACACCTAGGCATTTCAGCCTCTACCCTTGATCCCGGGATGGCTGTGGAAAATTCCTTTCTCTTTTTTGGCCTCAGTTTCCTCACTGGTGAAATGCCCGGTTCCTTTCAGCTTGGACAGCTCATGAGGCCATGATTCTCCTACTGACACCATAGAGGTCACTGACGATACAGCTCTGAATTCTGAGTCTATCGCTTTCTAGAAGTTATGTTCGAAGTCATTCCATAACTCCAGCACTTGGTGGCACCCCTAGAATTACACATTCTATGAACCCTAGAAGTTTTATGAGACTCAAGTTCAACAAACCCAGGAGTCCGACATGCCAGAAACCTAGACAGTTGCAGACATCTGACATCCACAAGGAATGACGCCCTGGGAGCTGGCAGCATAAAGCCAAGTTCTCTAGACTCCGTGCAGTTAGTATCAAAGCTTCCTCGTCTTAAGAGTCTAACATCTACCACTGAATCTAACATTCCATTTGGCATGGCTTCTAGGTCACATAACCTTTGAGAAAATCCAGATTTTCTGGACTCTTCCTGGAGACTCTTCTAGAACAGAGCTATCCAAGAGAACTTTCTGTGACGATGCAAATGGGCTTTATCGGTGGTGTCCAAAATAGCAGCCACTCACCCCATGTGACTACGAACCACTTGAACTATGGCCAGTGAGACTGAGAAACTGAATTCTTTCTTCTATTTAATTTAATCCATTTAAATGGCCATATGTGGCTAGTAGCTACTGGATGGGCACAAGGCATTTTGAAAGTCTCTAACTTTTCAAAGATTCCAACTTTCCTTGTCCTGAGTTTTCAGAGTCCAGCTCCAAAGATTCCAGGCTCTAGGAGACTCCACAATCTGTGCTCCCTCATCCTTCAGGGTTGGTCTGCCTAGACCCTGCAGCCACCAGCTTGTGGCCGTCCTGGGACTACCCCAGCCCAGGCCACCTTTCGGGACCCTTGCCCCCACCTGGTACAGCTCCACGTGCTGCTCCACTTTTAACTTGAGCCTCAGCAGGCGCAGCTCTGCCCGAGAGAGCAACACAGGTTCGGGCACCGCTTCCCGGAGCTCAGACGTGTTGAAGAACATATATATGCTGTGCGAGTTAGACTTCATCTTCTCATAGATTTCTAGGCAGAAAGAGTCAAGAGGAGGGATGTCAGTGTTTAGCAAGGGGTAGGGGTGCTAGTGCACCCCAAATCGAAGAGCTCTGGGTTGGAGTCTGACCCTGACACTTTTTAGCTGTGTGACCTTAGGCGACCAGCTTCTCCCCTCTGGGTTTGTTTCCACCTCTTTATTATTATTATTATTTAAAATATTTATTTATTTGGCTGTGCAGGGTCTTAGTTGTGGCATGAGATCTTCGGGCTTCGTGGAATGTGGGGTCTTTAGTTGCAGCATTCGAACACTTAGTTGCAGCATGTAGGATCTAGTTCCCTGACCAGAGATTGAACCTAGGTCCCCTGTGTTGGGAGCTTGGAGTCTTAGCCACTGGACCATCAGGGAAATTCCTCTAGCTCTTTAACCGGGGGTCCTATTCATCCTTCCCTCTCATCAGCTAGAAAATGGCCCCTCAGTACAAAATGAGCTTGGGGGTGGGGCTGCTCTGCTTGCTCAGGCCTCCACCTGGAGCTTCAAATGCAAGTTATGTTGAAGCAGAGAGATAAAGGCACTTGGATCAGACTATGCCTCTGCTGCCTTCTGTGACCCTGGGCAAGTCACATTCCCTCTTGGAGCTGTTAAATCTACTTGACATCAAGCTCTCTGCCTCCCAACCCAGGCTTTCCTAACTGAAGCACAGTGGAACTTTGGGCAGGTGAATTCCTCTCTCTGTGCCAGATTCTCACCTATAAGCCAAGGACTGATGATAGGTTGACAGTGTGAAATAGATGAGATGATGCAGATGAAGTATGTCGCGCAGAGTCTGCATACAGTGGTTAATCTAATGTGTATTCAGCAACCCCATGAGAAAGAGTCCATTAGTATACCCATTTTATAGATGGACAAACTGAGGCAAAGAGATGAAACAATTTGCCCCTAGGCCACACAGCCAGGAAACTGCAGTGTGGGGTGGGGATTCAAACTCGGCCAGTCTGATCAGAGCCTATGCTCCCTATAATCCCTAGGCTATGCTCCCTCCCTGCTAGTGTGACATTATTTTTGTTATTATTATTAGTATTTCCTCCCTTAACTGGTTAGAGAAAGTAAAGTTCATTCTAGATAAGGATGGCTTCAGGGGTGGGGGAAGGGAAACAGAAAATTAAGACTCCTAGTTCAGGAGACTTCCCTGGTGGCTCAGATGGTAAAGCATCTGCCTACAATGAGGGAGACCTGGGTTCAATCCCTGGGTCGGGAAGGTCTCCGGGGGAAGGGAATAGTGCCCCCCCCCCCGAAAAAAAGGAGGCTCAAAGAAATATTTCTGGAGAAGGAAATGGCAATCCACTCCAGTACTCTTGCCTAGAAAATTCCATGGATGGAGGAGCCTGGCGGGCTACAGTCCATGGGGTTGCAGAGTCGGACACGACTGAGCAACTTCACTTTCTTTTCCTAGTCCAGGAAAAACTGGGGACTGGGAATGAGGGGGACAGGCCATGATCAACTGGAGCAGTTTCTTTAGGCTTCTGCAGTGGGGGCGTGTAAATGGTGGAGACATGTTGAGAAAGGACAGAGGAAGACCCTCTTGAGCACCTCCTTTCCCCTGCTCCCCCCATCTCTTGCCGGGCTGGCCCCTCTCCCTCACAAATAAGCCCTATCTTGGCCCAAATGTTAGCCCACCCAAAAGGAAGGGCAGAGCCCAGGCCCAGGAGACAGAAAGGGAGGAAAAGCGATAGAGGGAGCAGGAAGGGTCAGAGGGAGAGATGGAGAGTAGGCTATGGAGGAGAAAAAGAGAAAAAGGGAAGAGATGGAGAGAAACTAGGAGACCCAGAGAGGGACAGAGTAACATGGATGCGGGAGAGACGAAAAGGCAGAAGACGAACGGGAAGACAGACGGAGGGTTAGGGAGCGAGATGGAGGCAGAAGAGGGCTGAAGAGAAACTGAAGGTGTCAGCGTTGGAAAAACCTCTCCAACGAAGGTGAAGCGTCGACGGAAAAGGTGAGACGGAGATGTGGGTGGGTAGGCTGTAGGGATGTCATTTGATTGAAGCCGCAGCTGGGCGCCCAAATGGGCCAGAGACCCACACTTCTACTTCTCCAGAAGGAAACTGAAAGCGGGGGGCGGGGTTCGCCCCCGAGCCTCGGGGCCCAGCGGGACGCCTGGGTACCCGCGCGGGCGCCGACAGGGCGGGCCCAGTGTAGCCCCGCCCTGAGCTGGAGGTGAAGAGGGCGGGAGCCGCCGCCGTCGCGAGGGCGGGGACCGGACCTGCCTCGTCTCGCCCCAGGCTCCGCGCGCGATCCCCGCCCCGCAACCCCCCTCCCCACCCAACCCCGAGGCGCGAGAAGGAAAGGGAAGGGAGGGCTAAGCAGCCGGACGCTGGGGTTTCCCCAGCCTCGCAGAGAGGAACTAGGAGCTTGGGGTCTAGGCTCTCCGCACTGAGCTCTGCGGGGTCCTCCTGCCCCTTCCGGAAGCGCAGGCTCCTCCCCCACGCCCGCGCGTGGCACCCACGTGGGGCTTCTCCAACCCCTACAAGCTCGGTCTTTCCCCCGGGTCTCGCAGAGTCGCATCCACCCACCTACCTCTCCCTACTACGATTCCTCACTCAGCCCTCTCCCTTCCAGCCAGCGGCGGGAGGGTGGGGGGCCCTGCTGCTCCCAGCATGACACGGTCCGTAGCTCCTCTACCCCATTCCAGGTCCACCTTTCTCACGCTTATCCTCCCGTTCTGTAAAACCCCTTCCCACGACCCAGTATTGTAGGTTTCCTGGGGGCGCGCGCTTCCTCCTCTGGGTTTCCTCCTCCTACAGTCCGTCTGGGAAATATTCAGAGCACCTCCTGGCGCATCCTGGGCACCCCCGCCCCCACCCCCTGGACACATCCTAGGGTCTCCGCTTCTCTCCCGCTAGTTTCCCGCACCCTACAACCTCGCGTCCCCTTCCGACCTCACATTTATCACCCCCTCCCCGCCTCTCCCTCTAAGCCCTCCCCCAATCTCGCGTGTTCTTCGCGTCCTGTGCATGCGGGTCCTCTCTCTAATTTCCTGGCACACCTCTGGGGTTCGCTTCTGTTTTTCTGTCCTTGAATCTTCCTGCCTCACGGCCCCTGAACACTGGGTCAGCTTTCCCCACTACCTCTCTCTCCTTTTCCAAATGCCGGGGTGCTGGTTTCTCCCGAAGTGAGCTCCCTCTCTGCAGCCCCGCTCCCACGACCCCAGCATTCTCGAGCACCCTGCAAGGGGAAGTCTTTTTCGAATTGCTTCGCTTCTCTCTAAGGGACTCCCCGCACGATCTCGCATGATCCCGTCGCCCTCTAAAAGCGGTCCATTTCGCTCACTATCTCTTCTTCAAGACCAGATACCTTGGGGTTAGGGAGCTCAGCTCTATCCTCTTTGGGACCCCTCCCCCCTACACGTTCCCGGCGCCCCCGGGGGTTCTCTTCCTCCAGCCAGTTTCCTCCACCAGCAATTTCCTCCCCGTGACCCCTGCACTCCGGCGCCCCCTGGGGGCTCCCCTCCAGGGTCCCCTGCCCCTGAGAGCTCACTGTTGCCGTATTCCACCATTAGCACGCGGGTGACCTCCTTGGCGTAGTAGTCCGCCTCTGGCTCAGGCTCCGTTTCGGCACTTTCCCCGGCCACCCGGTCGCGGGTACTGTTGTAAAGGGCCAGTATGGCCTCGGGCAGCGGGCCGGGTGGCACGTCCCCCTGGCTCGGGGGGCTGGCGAGCCGAAGCTTGGACAGAATCTGGCCGCGGATGGCCTCGATGCGCTTCCGCTTCACCAGCTCCATGTCGATGGTCTTGCAGGTGGACAGTCCGGCGACCGGCCGGCCAGGCGTCAGCATTAGTAGCCACAGCAGCGGCAGCAGCAGCGGCAGCAGCCGCAGCCCCGAGGGCGGCATGGGGGAGGCGGCGCCCCCCGGCACAGCCGAGAGCGCGAGCTGCGCTGGGGTGGGAAGAGGGAGGCCCCGCCCCTACAGGGGCTGGGGTGGGTGGGGGTCTCCCGAGGAAAAGGTAGGAGGGTCTGTTTGTGGGGAGAGTTGAGGCCTTCAGGGAGAACGGAGCAGAGCTGGAGGGGAGGCTCTGATGGGTGGGTTCTCGGTATCCCACGGAAAAAAACCGAAACGGGTGAGCTCTGGTACTAGAGATGGGTGATCTTGAATAGGAAAGCTGAGGCAAGTCTGAGAGAGATCCCGTCTCCCGGATCCCGGAGAAGGGTCCTCGGATGCGCGGGGGCTCAGGAGAGAGGCTGGGGAGTTGGGGGGCCGTGCAGTGGGGTGCACCCGAATTCTGGGGTCAAGTCTTCGCGGGAGTCGGGTTTGCGGTTCCTGATGGCTGGTCCGGAATGGGGGCGCCTGGGGATTGCCGTGTAGGCAGCAGGGAGGGAGCAAGCGTCCGAGGCGGTGGCGGGGTCTGCTGCTGTCTGGGGTCCTCAAGTCCTGCCTCGAGGAGCAGCGCTGCGCGATGCGGTCCCCGCGCCTTCGGCTCCCAGCGGCAGCGGAAAAGTCTCAAAACTTTTTTTCCTCTTCTCCCAACCAGCTCGTCCCTCCTCCCGCTCCTCCTCCCCCTCCTCCCCGCAGTGGCGGCGGCGGCGGCGGCGGGGGCGGCGGCGGCTCGTCTCAGACTCTGGGGCCTCGGGCTGCTCCTCGGCGGCTCCTTCCTCCGCTCCCGGCTGAGGCCGGCCCCGCGGGCGGCTCCGAGCCCGGGGGGTGCCCCGGAGGGGGCGTCCCCCCTGCCCCCGGCCGGGGGCCTCGCTGTCTGGCGGATCCGCGGCGGGAGGAGGGAGGTGGGACGGCCTGGGGCGCGAAGGGCGGCGGCAGCGGGGACCGGCAGGGGCGGCGGGGGTTTTTGAAGCCGCCCCGGCCCCACCCAGGAAGCGCGCGGGGCGGGGGCGGCCCTCAGGAGGAGGGCACCGGGGGGCCGGGCCACGGTCCGCATCTCGCGTGGGCGGGCTCCAAGGGGGGTCCCTTAAGCCCGGAGGGAGGGGGCGGGGACCCGGCTCCGCCCCACCAACAGGGTGCTGCCTCCTGGCGGTCGAGCGCCACCGAAGCGGGCGGCAGTGATGCGTGTGGCTTTGAGGACTGGGCAGGGGGTCAGCGAGAGAATAAAGACCTACCTAGTGCGGAAGGCTCAGAGGATGGGGACGCAGGGTACAGGGACTCCGAGGTGGACCGCCCCGAGTGGAGAGTGGGAAACCGGCGCAGAGGGGAAGAGGGTCAGCCAGAAGCTAAGGAGCCACTGGGGAACGGGGCACGGGGCAGGGGGAACCCCCAAGGAGTGGGGGCCCCTAAGAGCATCACCCAGAGTGGGGAAGGGGGTCAGACGCTGAGGCAGAGGGCAAGGGAAGGGGGCTTGAGGAGGAGGGTAACAGTAGGAGGACTCCCCCCCTCCCACGTCTGACAGATGGTCAAAAAAGCACCCACACTTGAAAAACACACCTTTATTGAGCCCCTCCATGTGTCCGCAGCTTCTCTGCACCCAACCCCCGTGAGCCCACACACCTACTGCCCCCATTTTACAGATGGGGAAACTGGACCTGGGAGGGGCAGCCACTGGGCTTGAGGTGCTAGTCAGGATAGAAGCCACACCAGCTTTGGCTGGGGTCAGGTCTGACAGTCTCCAAAGCCACACTTCTGACTACTGCACCATCCTGCCCCTTATGGGGTGTCCCAAGACATGGCTGGGGGCCAGTCATCCGTACAGGCTCCTTCAGCATTCGACCCCATAGCGATCGAAGTGGCGCAGCAGCAGGCTCAGCTCAAGGTGCACGGTACCACCAGAGGTGGTGTGCAGGCGATAGCGGTCAGCCCCACTGTAGATGGCATCTCCGTGCAGCAGCTGAGGGCCGCCACCCACAAAGGCCCTCGCCAGCTGCTCTCGCCAGCTGCCCAGGGGCCGCCACGTGGGGCAGTCCAGCCAGTGGGTGCCTGGACTGCTGGGCACATGGCAAAAGCCATAGCCTGCAAGCTGGCAGCGGCCGAAGCTGTCCTGGGACCACACCTGGAGATGGAGCCGGGGCCAGCCTGCAGGATAGGAGGGAGAGAGGAAAGGTGAAGGGGTACAGCCCAGCCTCTTGCTCCTGAAGACCCCAGGCCCATTGCTTCCCTGCCAGGTTTCTGCCCCACTCTCCTCCTCTGGAATCCTACTGCCACAGAGCAGCCAAGGGATCTTTCTGAATCCAGGTTCTTCCTCTGCTCAAAACCCTTCCATAATTCCCTAATGCACTCAGTATAAAGTCCAACTTCAACATTCTAGGCCCTTGAGGTCTGGCCTCTGTTGAATTCTCTATCGGCCTCCTCCTCTGTGTCCCCATCTCCGGGGAGCCCAGTCCCCAGGTGAGGGTGTTGGGTCTTGTTCTGGATGCCTCCCTCCTTCCCTCCCCATGGCCACACCCTGTCCTCTTTCCTGGCCTTGGGGCTTTCTTTCTTGCCTTCATCATCGTTCACCTGGCAGCTGGAAGCAACTTTCTCCCCTTTCCATAGATTTCCCAGTTCCTCACTCAAGATACAGTTCAGCTCCTCACCCTATAGGCGAAGTACTTGGGAGATCCAGCCCCATTTCACCCTCCTTTCTGAGTCTCTCTGAGCTTGGCCCGGTTCTGGAAGCTGGGGATACAGCAGTGAACAGGGCAGACAAAAATTCCTGCCCTTGTGCAGCTGACATCTTAGACAACCAACACAGTAAATACGCAAATTATAGGGTATGTCAGATGGTGATAACTGCTCTGGAGAAAAATAAGCTGGGTAGGGTGGGAGTAGGCATGCAGTTTTAGAAGGCAGTGATCAAGAAAAAATTTACTGAGAAGGTGACATCGGAGGGAAGAGACTGGGGGCTATGTGGCTATCTAGGAAAGGATGCTCCCAGCAGAGGGGACAGCGAGTGCAAAGGCCCTGAGGTGGGAGCTGCCTGGTGGGACGGATGTGGCCGGAGCAGACAGGGAAGGGGAGACAGAACCAGATCAAGCAGGGCCCTGTCCTTCCAGGATAAGGCTTTGCCTTTTACCTTGAGTGATGTGGGGACCACAGAGGGTCCTAGGCAGAGGAGGAATGTGACCTGACTTAGGTGTTCACAGCAGGGACACCTCAGTAAAGACACTACGGTAACAGCCCAGTGAGAGGTGACGGTGGACAGATCAGGGTGCTTTGAAGGGGGTGGGGGGAGTGATGACATTCAGGATGCATTTCAAAGGTGGAGCTAATGGGATTTCCTAATAGAATGAAAAAAGAAACAGGCATGGATATTTGGGATCCTTAAGAGCTGAAAGGACTGTGGCCTGCCTCACCTTCCAATCCATCACCCATGAGGCAGCCAGAGGGATCTTTTTTTTTTAATTGCAATCTTTTTTTTTTTTAATGTTTATTTATTTGTTTGGCTGCGTCAGGTCTCAGTTGTGGCAAGTGGGATCCCTGTTGCGACATGAGGGCTCCAGAGCCCACAGGCTCAGTAGTCACATGGACCCAGCTGCCCCACAACATGTGAGATCTTAGTTCCCTGACCAGGGATTGAACCTATGTCCCCTGCATTGGAAGGTGGCTTCTCAACCTCTGGGCCACCAGGGAAGTCCCCAGAGGGATCTTTTAAAAGCAAAATCTGACTTGTCAATCACCTGCTCTGGCTCCCCAGGTATGGCCTCCACTCTGCGGCCTAGCACTGAAGATCCTGCAGGGCCTTTTCCCTGTCCTCTGCCCCATCACCCCGTGTAGTCCCCTGCTTGCCCTCCATCTTCCAAATACCCCTGATTCACCTTCCCCCTTGACCCTTCCACACATGGCTTTCGGCCTAGAACCCTCTTCCATCTTTCTGTTTTAATAGCTCCTACTGACTCTTCACAGCAAAGCCAAACATTCCCCCTCCTCTGGGAAGCCCTCCCTGAACTCCCCAGCTGAGTAAGGTACCTCCTCTGGGCTCCCAGAGCCCTTCTGGATCCCTCATCCCAGGCCTGCCCACTCTGGATTGCCACTCAGGGTAGCTCTTTCTCTCCCCAGAGATGATCTGTGTGGAAACAGAGCTGGGCTAGCAGGGGCTGTCTCATCACTGACATCTCCGTGGCACCCCCTGACACAGGGCAGGCCCTCAGTAACTATTATTTATATGATAGAAATATATGGCATATTTATCTAGACTATTTCCTGGAATCTGCTCCTTTCTAATGACACAGATATTCCTCCAGAAAAGGTTTTCTGATGCTCCTCCTCTCTCACATATTCATTTACCCTCCGAGCAGCCGAAAAGCCCTGCTTGCAGAACAGTCTCTGGCCTTCACCTCTTTCTCTCATAATCCTCTCCCAGCTTCCTCCTTTTTTATCTTTTTTTTTTTGGCTGAGTCAAGTAGTGTGTGGGATCTTAGTTCCCCTACCAGGGATCAAACCCATGCCCCCTGCATTGGAAGCGCTGCATCCTAACCCGTGGACCTCCACGAAGTGCCTCCCAGCTTCCTTCTGATGGAAGACTCTCTTGCTTTGTCTCTGTGAAAGCCACATCCCTCTTTCCTGGCCCGCCCCTTGACTTGCCCCCTTAACCCTGGCCTCTGCCCTGGTTCTAAGGAACTCTAGAGCTGGCCTGGGGAGGTTTCTGCTCAGCCTCTCCAGGGCCAAGTCTGGTCAGGAAAGGGACCCAAAGGCACAGGAAGCAGGGCCAGCACTTGCTGTTCCGTTCTGGTAGCATGGGGATGCCGCTAACCCACCTCCCGTTAGTCTAGCCGGAAGCCCAGGCTGGGAACCCACCTTGAAGGCCTTTGGTGGCGAAGTGCAGGTCGATGGGGTGGGACCAGTAGGCCATGTCCCCTATCTGGGGAGTGTCCACCTGTGTTTGGCCCTCCCGCACGCCTGACAGGAGCTTCCATGCTGCCCCTGCAAGTGAGAGCCAGGATATGGATGAGGTGGAGGGAAGGGGCAGGAGACAGTCCTCAAGAAGGGGATCCCACTGTGGCTGCAGGACCCCCTTTCTCTCTAGAACTGGGGATGGGTGGTGGTCAAGGGTTGCAAAGCGTAGATCCTGGAGCCAAATGTTTAGATTTAAATCCTGGCACTATTTCTTCCTGCCTATGCAACCTTGGGCTTGTTACTTTTCTGTGCCTCGGTCTTCCCATCTGTAAGGTGGGTATAATAATAATGCATCCCTCACAGGTTTGTGAGGTGATTAAATGAATTAATACACACGAAGCACTAAGAATAGTGTCCATGGCATACTGCCTGCTGAATAAGTGTTGGGTATCACTTTATTATATTACTATTCTCATTCCACATTTAGAGGCCCTAGTCTGAGGACTAAGATGGGGCCAAGGGTGTCCTTCATGAACAGAAGCACAAAGCATATTGTGAAAGGTGCATCGTAACAGCAATCCTACCGATGGTGACAGTAATAGCAAAAATGCACCGAGTGCTTACCAAATGCCAGACGCTGTGCTAAGCGCTTTAGTAATGAATTCATTTAATCCTCCTTCTGGGACTCTTAATCCCCACCCCACCCCCTGCTTACAGATTCTCCTCCATAGCCCATAGGCCCTGCAAGGCCTGGCCTGTGCGCCCCCCTCCCCTTCCCCCACCCACCACCTTCCTGAGCTCATCTTTCATCACTTTCCTCATTCCTCACCAATCTCTGGCCTCACTGGTTCTATTTTTGTTCTACTCTTCAGGGCCTTTGCACTGGCTGTTGTTCTTTTGCCTAGAAAACCCTCCTCCTGGATATCCCCAGACATTTTTTTTTTCCCATACTTCAGGGATCAGCTCAAGAGCTACTTTCACAGAGGTGTTCTTCCTCACCCTCCTATCCCCAAACTAACCAGTCCCTTTCACATCATCTCTCAGCTCATCTCTTCCTAGGACCTACTGTACTATCTGTAATCACTGGACTCATGTCTTTATCTGTTTATTTATTCTCTGTCTCCCCTCCTGTGAGCCCCAAGAGAGCAGGGATCTTGTAAAGTACTGGATCCCTAGGACTGCAAACCCAGATCTTGGTACACAGAAGGTGCCCGATACATGTTTGTTGGACAAAGAATTGATCCTAGGAGGTGGGGGCTAATACAATTCTCATCTTACAGGTAAAGAAATAGATGCTGAGAAGGAATGGCACTTGGCCATTCATTCCACAAACCTTTATCGAGCAACTTCTCTGTGCTAAGCACTGTTCTCCACGCTGGGCCCACAGCAGGACCACAGCAGACCAAGTCCCACAGCGGAGCTGATTCAAATGGAGCTCTGTTTTGTTTCTGGTTTGTCTTTTTGTTTTTGATCATGCCTTGAAGCATGTGGGGATCTTAGTTCCTCAACCAGGGATCAAACTCGTGTCCCCTGCAGTGGAAGTGTGGAGTCTTAACCACTGGACCACAGGGGAAATTCCTCAGATAGAGCTCTGACTGATAGCAGAGACCAAGCCCCTTATCTGACTGCCCTTCGGCTCTCTCTTGCATAACTAACGCCCCTCTCCCTGGCGAAGAGCCCCCTGAAATAATAAAAATCATGTTGGTTACTGTTCCCTTCTGGGCCAGGTGAGGAAAGCAACAGGCCTTGAGTCAGGATTTTCACATACAAGACTTCCTGACACTGCTATGAAGGATAAATAGTCCCATTTTACAGACAGGAAACTGAGGCTCTGAGAGGGAACAGCGCTTGCCCCAGGTCACAAAACAGATAAGTGGTAGGGCGCTGGAAACCTAGTCAATTCCTGGCTTGTCTTCTTATTTACTCAGCTGGAGGATCCCAATTTCCCAGGGAATCTCAGCCACTAGTCTATCCACCAGTGAAATCACAAAGGACTCTGGACCTAAAAAGATAATGACGACGATGGCCACACTCATTTCACAGATATGTATCTCTGCTAGACAACATATCCCAGGCTTAGAAACAAGAACCCATCCAGCTGTTACACAAGCCAGGCAAACACTTACGAGGACTTACAAATCCAGGTCCTCTTCTGAGGGCTGTTGATATTCATGTAGTCCTCACAACAACCCCAGGAGGTAAATAATGTTATTATTCCCATTGTATAGACAGGGAAATCAAGGCAAAGACAAGTGCCCAAGGTCACATAATTAATAAACAGGAGCTGGTTTTGAATCCAGGCAGTCTCTGCTCTTAACCTCTCAGTACTCTGCTGCCTCTTAGGTGCTATTAGCTTCATTTTCAGACAAGGAAACAGGCTCAAAAAGGTCAAGTCCAAAGGCTCCTAATTAATAGGTAAGGGAGTTTGTACTTGAGCCCAGACTTGGTGACCCGTGGCCCTATCAAACTAACCACCACAGTCTACTGCCTCTGATGAAAAGGCATGAAAACTGGGACCTCCAAGGTCCCTCTTGGGCTTGCGTGGATGGACTTGGATGATCAGAACTGGGTTCCTACGTTTTCACAGAGAAATGTGAATACAGGAGGGTGGTTTCTCCTCTTAATTGCAAAATGGAAACTTCCATTTCACCTTAAGAACTCAATAAACGGAGACAGTAAAGCAAACAATTAAGATGGGGGCGTCACACAAGGCACCTCTAAGACAGTGAATGGAACCCAAATAGTGTTGTTAGGGCCATTAAGTGTTTTGAGGATTGGGAGTGTGTGTTGGGGGTAGGTGGGTGTGTTAAGCCTATAGTCCCCCATCCTTGCTGTGTGTCCTAGGTCTCTTCAGCCGTATCCGACTCTTTGTGACCCAATGAACTGTAGCCTATCAGGCTCCTCTGTCCATGGGATTCTGCAGGCAAGAATACTGGAGTGGGTTGCCATGCCCTCCTTCAGGGGATCTTCCAGACCCAGGGATTAAACCCATGTCTCTTATATCTCTTGCATTGGCAGGCAGGTTCTTTACCACTAGCACCACCCATGGGAAGCCCTCAGGGAATGTGTATTGAGAGACTAGAACTCAGAGTACCCAGAGGTGAGATGGCAAGGGATAAGAAGGGAGCTTGAGGCTCGCACAAACAGAATGTGGTCAGGGGTAGGAGTCCTGAGAACTGATGGAAGCTGAGGATCAGGGACTGAGCCAAGAGGTCAAGAAAAGAAGGTGGAGCAGCTAGACTGAGGTTTCGGTGGGGAAATGAACCATGTCGGGGAATACCTGTGTGGATGCCCCACTTGCAGAACAGGCTACTTTCCGAGAAACCGGTGGCCCCCATGATCTGTCCGATCACGTGCACCTCAGCCATTGCCCTGAAAGGGGAAAATATAATCACAGCCTTATGAGAAAAGTGTACAATTATCTCCACCTAATAGATGGGAAGACTGAGGCCCACCAAGTAAGGAGCAATACGTGGGATTCCAAGCTAGTTTCGTCAAACCACTGAGGTTGCGGTTTCAACCATGATACTAACTGCCTCTCCAGGAGAGTCTCAGAAAAATGAGGGTCGAGAAACAGACGCTCCAAGGAGCTGGCGCGTAACTCGGCCTGCCCCTAAAATAACTTCTTCCTAGGCGCAACGCCGCGGAAAGTCCCGCCCCAGGGGCCCCAATGGCTCCGCCCACAACACAAAAGCTCCGCCTCCCACGTCAGATATCCACCCCCAAGTCCATGAGGCGCATGCGTTTTAAGTTCTAGGCGCCTTAGCTCCGCCTATGAGTTAGCGCATGCGTTATTCCTACCTCAGAGTACTTAACGGTTAGGAGAGGCGAGAGCGCTGGCGGGGATTGGAGTTCATGGGCCTGAGCTGTCCCTCTCTCCGCAGGGGTTGACCTCCCAGGTCTGGCTCACGCCTCTCCTAGGACCTTCCTGGCAGCGAGAGAGCTGAGGCGCAGATCTCTCCAAGACCGCTCCCGCCTCCAGCCTCCCAGGTTGTTGCTGGGGCAACGGCAGCCTCCTCCCCTGGCCTTTCACCCGCCCTGCTGGTTGCTAATTGGCCCTAGCGGCATTTTGGGGGAGGGACTGTGCTGTGATTGACACTTTCTCTCCCCCACCCATCTCCATTTTTGGGTAAGAAGTCTCTCCAGCCACGATCCACGGTTCAGCCATTTGCGGCGTGGCCCCATTGTGGCCATGTTGAGCGCGGCGAAGAAGTTTGAACAGTGCCTGTCTCAGATATTCTCATAACAGAATAAGCAAATCCATCCATCCCCATTACCCCTCGAACTGTTTCTCAACAGGGACCACAAGACCGACTTGAGCCAGAGCTAAGGGGGAATCTCACGAGTTTGGGTGCATCCCTCTGCCTCCTAACTGGAAATAAACTTCATCTGGTTGGCGGGGTTCTTTTTTAGCGTTCCCCCAAGCTCCTCAAAGACTGATTAATTCAACTTCCGTCTCCGAAATACCGCCCATTTCTTCATTGTTAGTGCTGATTCTGAGCAGTGAGTGGGTGGGGTGGGGGAAGGGGTAAGAGAAATGAGGAACTGAGGCCACTTGATCTGCAGAAAATCCTGTTTTTTGAAGGCTGGACTCTGTCAGTAACTTAGGACCTTGAGCAGCTCTAGGTCTCAGTTATCTCATCCATGTCATGAGCCCAAGAGGAGTGACTGAGTCAGGCACTCACACGTTCTGATTCCTGAACAGTACCTTCTCCACCCTCCAAGTCCAGTTGAACCAAGACCAGAAGTCCAAAGGGAACTTATTCCCCTACTTATTGTAAAACAGGGACAGCAAAAGTTAGAGTCACCAGCTCAAAGTTATAGGGAGGGTGGCAACATTTCAACAGGATAATGTCGTGGTTTGTGTGCAGGTTAGAAAGGAATTTCCAGACATGAAGCAGAATGAGAGGAAGATAGAGTTTATTAGAGAGGGAGATACCCTTGGAACTGCAGGCCTACCTCCTGACAGAGCAGGGAGAGCTGACTGTTAGAACAGCAGGCCGGCCCGAGAGAGAGCCAATGCCTTTCATCAGCTAGTAGCCAATTTCTGTAGCCTCAAGGCAAAACTTCTGCTGGAAGGGTGGCATTAGGTGATTGTTTAGGATGCTGTAGGGTGAATAATGGAGTGGGTGTTTTTACCTAATATGGGGTCAGGGAACTGAGTAGTTTAGATCTGGGGGGTGCTCATGGCAATGGTTGCTATGGGGGCTCTGGTCAGTTCCTGAGATGACCTTAGTACGGGCCTTCACATCTGTGGACTTGGTACAAGGCTTTACACCTGTGACCTTAGTGTAGGGCTCCACAGATAGTATTTATATACAAAAAATAATTCAATAGGTATATAATTTGATAATATTTCACTAATAGGTATATTTGAAAACTATCATTTATCAAGTGATTTCTCTGTGCCAGCCACTGTAAACTGATTGTTTTGCAAGCATGATCTTTAATCCTGAGATATCCCATGTGTGTGCTCAGTCGTGTCCTACTCTTTGCAACCCTTTGGACTGTAGCCTGCCAGGCTCCTCTGTCCATAGGGATTTTTCAGGCAAGAATACTGGAGTGGATTGACATTTCCTTCTCCAGGGGATCTTCCTGACCCAGGGATCGAATTCATGTCTCTTACATTGGCAGGTGGATTCTTTACCACTGCACCATCAGGGAAGCCCACAGATATTCCACAGGGCGGATAATTATCAGTTTTATTTAAGATGAAGAAATTAGGGCAAAATCATTTATCCTTAAACCAAATCGACTGTAGTTCTGTCCTGTGCTACGTGCTCAGTTGCGTCTGACTCTTTTGTGACTGCATGGACTGTAGGCTGCCAGGCTCCTCTGTCCATGGAATTTTCCAGGCAAGAATACTGGAGTGGGTTGCCAGTTCCTACTCCAGGGGATATTCTCGATCCAGGGATCGAACCCATGTCTCCTGCATTGGTAGGTAGATTCTTTACCGCTGTGCCACCTGGGAAACCCATAGTTCTCTCATACTCTGTCCCAAAACTTTATGTTCTTCACCTCCTGCTGTCTTACTTCTCTTGGATACACATCTCATCTCCCAGTATCAAAGGAATATGGAGGTCATGGGTGTCATCCTCAACTCCATCACATCCCACGTCCAGCCAGTCGTCAAAGTCCTATACATGGGACTCACCTGGTGGTCCAGTGGTTAAGACTCTCTGATTCCACTTCACTGGGCACAGAACTAAGATCTGGTCTCAGAACTAAGATCCCACATGCCACACAGCATGGCCCCAAAACAGACAAACAAAAGTCTCATAAAAACTCCTTCTTAAATATTTTTTCTTCAGTTGGTTTCTTTCCCACTGGTAATATTAGTGATTAAGAAAATGCTTCCCAGTTCAACTACCTGGATTTAAGTCTTAGTTCTGGCCCTTCCGTTTGACCTTTAGCCCTCAGTTCCCTCGTCTGTAACAGAAGAATGAGTAATGGTACCCACCGTATTAGATTATGGTCAGAATTTAATGAATGTATGAAACTGGACATTTAAAACATGTCCACAGGTTCTTGACACTCCTTTCACTAGGTAGTGGAGCCTGCCACTCTTGAGTATAGGCTGCAGTTTGTAACTTGCTCCTAATCAGTAGCTCGTGGTACAGTTGTTGCTGTGTGACTTCTGAGACTAAGCCATAAAAGGCATTGAGGATTCCGCCTCCATTTCTCTCTTGCATGGCTCACCTTGAGAGAGCCCAGCCACCACGATGCGACAGCAGGGAAGCAGCCAGCAGAGAGACCCAAATGGGGAAGAACCAAAGCCAAACAAATCAGCGCCATGTGAGACCTATCTTGGAAGACCGTCAGCTGCAGCAAACCTTCAGGTGACTGTTGCAGCTGGCCACCATGCCAACTGTAACTTCATGACACCCTGACCCAGAGTCAGCCAACAAAGCCATCAGCAGATTCCTGACCAACAGAAACTATGTCTGATGGTAGGATTTGTTGTTTTAAGCCACTAAAGTTTGGGGGGGATAATTTGTTATGCAGCAATAATAACAATGTAAATGCCTAATAATAATAATACAAATGCCTAATGAGTTTAGGGTAGTGCCTGGCACATAAGAAGCACTATAAATGTTTGTTATTATTGATGGTTTTTACTGTTCATGTTGTTGTTACTGAGATGGCATATTTTACATATTTTTTATAAGAAGCACACTGAATATCTCTTTATGTAGTTGTTATTCTTAAAGTCTGTGAAATTGAGATAACATATCATAAAATTTACCATTTTAACCATCTTTAAGTGAACAGTTCAGTGGCCTTAAGTACATTCACATAATTGTGCAATGTCTCTATAACTCTCTTCATTTTGCAAAACTGAAACTGTACCAATTAAACAAAAACTCCCATTCCTCCCTCCCTTCCTCTAGCCCCTGGAAACCCCCTATTTACTATTTCTATGAATTTGACTACTGTAGGTACCCCATATGAGTGGAATCAATATTTGTCCTTTTATGACTGGGTTTTTTCATTTAGCATAATTTAGCATAATGTCCTCAAGGATCAGCCATGCTGTAGTGCATGTCAGAATTTCCTTGTGTTTCAAAATTATATGGCAATTATTTATTTATTTTGAAGCATAGTTGACCTCCAACACCATGTTAGTTCCAGGTGCACAACATAATGCTTTGGTATTTCTATACATTACAAAGTGGACATCACAGAATTTCCTTCCTTTCTAAAGTTGAATAATATTTTTAAATATACACTCTGTTTTCTTTATCCATTCATATAGTTGGGTTGCTTCCACCTTTGGGCTATTGTGAATAAAGCTACTATGAAAATGGGTGTATACACACATCTCTTTAATACCTTGCTTTCAGTTCTCTTGGGTATACATCAAGAAGCAAAATTGCTGGGTCATATGGTAAGTCTATTTTTAATTTTTGGAGGAAATGCTGTACTCATTATTAGAGTGACTGTTCATCCTCTTTTATATCTTGGCTTTTTTTTTTTTTTTTTTTTTGGCCAAGCAGAGTGGCTTGTGGGATCTTAGTTCCCTGATCAGGGATTGAACCCATCTTCAGCAGTGAAAGAGCCTAGTCCTAACCACTGAACCACAGGGAATTGCCACATCTTGCATTTTTCACTCAGTGATACATCTTGAAAGGTTATCCATATCTTTAGATCGAACTCACATTTTCAAAAATAAATGTTTGGCAGTATGTGTACGGAAAAGTGCACAAATCATAAGTGAACAGCTGAATTAAATTTCATTAACTGAACACACCTGGTAACCAGAACTCAACTCATGAAAAGAACATAACTAGCCTCCAAGGATGCCCTTCATGCCTCATCCAGTATGCCCCCAAGGGAAACCACTAACTGGACTCCTAACAATATGCATTAATTTTGCCTGGTTTTGTACTTTATATAAATGAAATCTCGCAGTATGTATTGCTTTGTGTCTGCTGTCTCTTGCTCAGTGCCTTGTGAAATTTATTCCATGCCATTGCATGTGGCTGTAGTTCTTTCATTCTCACTGCTATATAGTTTCCTCTGTGTGAAGATGCTATACTTTATCCATCTGTTGATGGAAACCTGTTTTCTGGTGGACATATGTTCATATCTTATTGGACTGGAATTGCTGGGTCATTAGGTGGCTCACTAGTAAAGAATCCACCTGCCAATTCAGGAGACCCAAGAGACATGAGTTTGATCCCTGGGTTGGGAAGATCCACTGGAGAAGGAAATGGCAACCCACTCCAGTATTCCTGGAGTATACCATGGACAGGGAAGCTGGGTGGGCTACAGTCCGTGGGGTCACAAAGAGTCAGACATGACTAAGTATGCACACACACACACAAGGTATGTTCAGCTATAGCAGAAACTGCCCAGGAGTTTTCCTAGTGGTTGAACCAATTTGGATGCTCATTCAACCTAGTGGTTGAACCAGTTTTAGATGTATGAGAGTTCCCCTGCTCCACATCCTTACCAGTACTTCCTGGTGGCTTCTTCTATCATTTAACCATTCTGATGGGGGTGTATTGGTAATACATTGTGATTTTAATTTGCATTTGCCTGATGATTAGTTGGGTAATTTTTTAAATGCTCATTGCTACCTTGGATTTCCTCTTTTTGTGAAGTTTTGTTCAATTTTTTCACTTGATTTTCTTTCCATATATATATGTATGTATATATACACATATGTGTACACATATGTATACACATATACATATATTATATTCATAATATTATTTTAACAGTAAAATTCTCCCAAGAACTAGAGGGTTCTCCTATATAACCATAATACCAGTTTAACATTTCCCCAAGTATCAATTTAATATTGATAGAGAACTATCATCTAATTCATAGTTTATATTCAAATTTCTCCCATTGTCCCAATAACATACCTTGTCACCATCTGCTCTCCATCTGGGATCACACTTTGTGTTTATTTGTCATGTTTCTTTAAGTAAGTGTTAGTCATTCAGTTATGTCCAACTCTTTGCGACCCCATGGACTGCAGCCCACAAGGCTCCTCTATCATGAGATTTTCCAGGCAAGGATACTGGAGTAGGTTGCCATTTCCTTCTCAAGGGGATCTTCCCAACCCAGGGATCGAACCCAGGTCTCCTACACTGCAGGCAGATTCATGTTTCTTTGTGTGCAGGCTAAGTCGCTTCAGTCATGTCCGACTCTATGCAACTGCATGGACTGTAGCCCATCAGGCTCCTCTCTATATGGAATTTTCCAGGCAAGAATACCAGAGTGGGTTGCCATGCCCTACTCCAAGGGATGTTCCTGACTCAGGGATTGAACCCGAGTCTCTTATGTCTCCTGCATTGGTAGGTGGGTTCTTTACCACTAGCGCCACCTAGGAAGCCAGTCATGTTTCTTTGGTCACCTTTAACCTAGAAGAGGCTGCCAACTTTTAGGTTTTTATGTTTTTGTTTTCATGACACTGACATTTTAAATATATTTAATCTGGCTGCATTAGGTCTCAGTTGTGGCATGCAGGCTCTCTAGTTGTGGCACATGGGCTCCAGAGCATGCAGGCTTCATAGTTGCAACTCACAAACTTAGTTATTCCTTGGCATTGTCCCCTGCATTGCAAGGTGGATTCTTAACCACTGGACCACCAAAGAAATCCCAATACTGACATTTTTTTTTTCCATTTATTTTTATTAGTTGGAGGCTAATTACTTTACACCAATACTGACATTTTTGAAAAGTTCAGATCAGATACTTTATAAAGTGTCCCTCTATTTGGCTCTGTCCTATGTGTTCTCATGATTAGATTCAGATGATGCATTTTTGGCAGAAGCATCGTAGAAATGATGTCATGTCCTTCCTTTTCAAGTGCACGTCAGTAGGCACACGATGTTGATCTGTTCCAATACTGGTGATGTTCACTTCTACCACCTGATTTAAGTGGTGTCTGCTGACATTGTTCGTTAATACTGTTTTTTTCCCCTTTGTAATAAGTTATCTGTGGGGGGATCCTTTGAGACTAAATACATGTCCTGTTCCTCATCAAACTTTCACTCAGTGGCTTAGGCTTCTGTTGATAATCCTGGCTAGGATTTCACGTTCAGTATTTCAGGACCATCACAAAGCCCAAGAACCCTGGAAGGGGCAGGGAGACTGTACAAGGCTGATGGTGGCCAGAGAATGTAGTGAAGTGAATAAATCTCTAGGGTGTGGGACTTCCCTGGTGGTCCAGTGGTCAGGACTTTGCACTTCCACTGCAGGGGGTGTGGATTCCATCCATGGAATAAAATCCTGCATGCAGCGTGGCCAAAAACACCCCCCACAATTTCTAGGGTGGCCTACAGGGTCTGGGGGTCCCATATTGTTCAGGGATTCAGTAAAAATCAGTAAATTCAGCCTCAGTAAAATGTACTGATTCAGCCTCAGTAACAAAGGGAAGCTGGTAAGAATTCATGTGCCCATGCCACAAATAGGTATTGAAGGCTTGCTTTGCACCCAGGCACTGTTCTAGGCCCCGAGGCACAACAGTGAACAAAAGAGAGCAAATCCCAGCTCAGCTGCAGCTGGCACTGAAGTGGGGGAATTCAAACTACAAACAGCCAAAGCATGTAGTATGTTTCACAGTGATAAGAGCAAGGTTAAGGAGATAAAGAGTAACAGGTTACCTCTCTTGATAGAACAGTTCTGCTCCCTCTCCTCTTCTATCCTGCCGTGGGTCTCCCCGCCTGTTGTCAGCCAGAATCTCTGGCTGAGCCAAGTGCACTTCCAGACACCATCTGCTCTCCCTGGGAGTGGGGCCCGTGCCAACTCCAGCGTCTGGACTCTTGGCACGGAGCCCCAGAGCCCTGGAGCGAGAGAACTCTGGCCGGCCCCACATCAGGAAGGGAATCCTCCAGTTTGGCTGTCTGCGACTGGTGAGATGGAGGGCTTCCGAGAGACAGGGAAGCCAGTGCAAGCTGGGTGGCCTCCTTGAAGGAGGTCGAAGCCTGTAGCGTGAGAAGAGTCCCTTCATCAGACTGAAGATGATGGCTATATTAATAAATAATTCTATTCCTAAGCACTATTAAACACGTTCAGAGTACCTAGTTTGGGGCAAATGCTGGACATGTGTTATTGCACCTAATTGAAGTGCTTTATATATGTGGTCACAATCTAAGAGACAGGGAGTACTTACCCCATTTTACAAATGGAGAAACTGGGGTTCAAAAAGGTGATGCTATTATGCAGAGGTCACATAGCAAGTGCTTTGAAGAGCCTGGAAAGGAATTCAGGTCTGTGTGGGTCCAAACGGTAACTCATAACCACCGCCTGTACCACCTGATAACCAGCACACCATCCCTGGTCCACTCCCACCGCCGGCCCTTTCCCTGGAAGCCCCCGCCTCACCTTTTGCCTGTTTTCACCCCTCTACGTGGGCCAGCAAGAAATACAGCCTTGAGTTAGAATCTGCCTGTGGGTCCTGGCACTAGTTGTTTACCTTGGACCAGTGAACTCACACACATCTCAGCCTCAGTTGCTTGATGTGCAGAATAAATAGGGAGAGAAATCGAGAGGAATCCGTGAGATGATGAATGCAGCCCATCTAACGCAGGGGCAGGGCGTGGGTCACTGCACTCAGTGACCCTGCTGCGCGCTCTTAGGCAAGCTCTAACTCTCGGCTCCTGTTTCCTCCTGGGCACGACAGGACCACCACTGATAGTGCCTCTCAGGTCGTTCTCAGAAATAAACGTGTCCGTGTATATACATAACGTGTGTATGTAAAGCACTAAGAACCGTGCCCACAGTTAGCTGGGGTTGCTGCTTTGACTGTTGGGGAGCGGGGAGGGCGGTGGGCTGGAGGCGGGGCCAAGCCAGGAAGGCCCTGGAGAATCGGGGCGCCCCCTCCTCCGTCCTGCAGCTTTAGGGTCTGGGTTCGGGAAGTCAGGGCCCGCTGTTCTCAGAGACTCCCGCCCGCTCCTCCACACAGGGGGTGGTAGGGGTCCGCGCCAGGCGCTGACGTCGGCCTTCAAGGCCCCATCCCCGGGCCTCCACGGAGGGCGGAGCCCAGGAGCCCGTCGCCCCGCCCCCATCCCCGCCCCCGCGCGCTGCGGGCCCGGGGTGCTGAGAGGGGCACCGGGCTGAGGGTGGGAACCTCGAGTCCGCAGCCAGGCCTGGACCCCGGGGAGAGCGGGGCTCACTGAGTGCCCCCACCCTGGGCGGCAGGGTCGGGTCGGGTGTCGGTGCAGGGAACCCAGGAGGTCCCGGCCTATGGCTGTGGGCGGTGAGTGAGGGGCGCAGCTGCGGGCCGGGGGCACCACTTTTACCCCAGGTCTTGGGTTTGGGGACAGGGAGGCAAAACCTTGGCGAGGAAATCGGCTCAAGCCAGGTTTGGACTGAGGGCGGAAGACTTGAGGACCCCCCTCTCTCCCCGGGCGATCGTGAGGGCCAGAAGAATATTCTCTGTGGCCGAGTGGAGTGTGTGATGGGTTGGTGGTGTTCTGGGGGAGGAGTGCAGCGGTGGATTCTGGTCAAACAGGAGGTGTCTGGGGAGCAGGTGGGTGTGGGTCATGAATGTGGGTGGAGTGAGAGAGGGGTGTGTGGACCCTGGTGTTTGGGGCAGGTGTGCAGGGAAGTGATGGAAACGGGAGAGTGTTCCATCTGCTTGTGTGGGAAGCTGGTGCATATAGGTACATCTGGGGAATTCTGATGTTGAGGGGATTAGGATGAATGTACGAGGAGTTGTTTGGGGTGAGTGTGTAAGAAGGTTGCAGGCCTCAGAGGGGTGTTTCTTGGGAGCTCATGTTGTTTGGGGCAAACTCCCTTGGGACATGAGTGTGCACAGGTGGGGGCTGGGCTTGCCTGGATGGGTATGTGTGGCAGGGGACTTGGGTATTGAGTATGTAGGCTTGGGGGGCACAGGGGGTGTGTGGACTAAACATCACTGGGGATGGCTGTGCTGGAGAGGGATGGTAGGGTGAACCCAGGATGGGTGTGTAGTTCCTGGGCCAAGTAAGTGTGTAAAACATGGTTTGGAATAACTGTGGAACAGGTATGTGGTTTTGCCCTGAGGAGAGAGAAGCCCAGAACTGAATGTCCAGATTCCTGAGTGTTTTTTCTTTTTTCACAACTTGGACCATCCTCTTTAACTCTTTTTTTTTTTTTTTTTAATTTGGCCATGCTGGGTCTTAGTTGCAGCACGCGAGATCTTCAGTCTTAATTGAGGCATGTGAGATCTAGTTCCCTGATCAGGGATTGAACCTGGGCCCCCTGCATTGGGAGTGCAGAGCCTTAGCCACTGTACCACCAGGGAAGTCCCTCTTTAACTCTTTAGACCTCAGTTTTTCTATCTGTAAAATGGGTCTTAGAATGGTTCAGCCACCTAGTTTCTGCCTGGAGTCTCTCCAAAGCCAGGAGTCAGGGGAGGGATGAAGGTGAAACTGTTAACATTGTCTTGTCTTTTCCCTTCCCCTAGGAAGGAGCCTCTCCCCAGCCATGGAGAACGCCAGTCTTCGAGAGCTCCAGCAGCCCCTACTGGTGGGTGGTGAGCTTCCCATCCAGAAGTCCAGTGAGCCTGAGCTGGGGCCTCCCTTTCGAGAGACAGCCTTTGCGGAGTCGCTGAAGGGTTGGCAGTTCCTGCCACCATCTCTTCCTTCTGTGAGTGCAGGACTAGGGGAGCCAGGGACCCCCGACTTTGAGGTAGGAGCAGCACCACTAAGGAAGGCTCCCTAGTGGGAACTGGGGGAAGGGGCTGGAGGGAAACCCAGCTGGGGCCAACATCCAGCAGGCTGGCAGGTGGAGTGCCCATCTTTGGCCTGGAGTCTCACTTCCCAACTGCGTGCATGTTCCTGGGTTTCCAGTTGTGGTTTTTCCTGTTCCTCCTCTCCCCCGCTTTCTTTACCTTTTTCTCCCCAGATTTGTCTCTCATCTTTGTTCTCTTTGGCTCTTTCTTCCCAATCATTTTTGACCCCCTTGTTTTCTCTCTGTCCATCTCTCTAAAGGTGATACATCTCTGCACCTCTCTCTCTTTTTTTCTCCCCCCCGGTTAATGTCATTTTTTTTATCATTTCTTATTCCGTGTCCATATTCTGAAGCTTGTCTTTTATTTGCAAAGCATGGTTTTCCTGTTGCTACTGCTGTATAAGAAACCACATAAGAAAACGACTATCACTATCATGGCTCATGGTTTCCATGGGTTGGGAATTTGAGGACTTGGGTGGTTCTGCCTCAGGGTCTTTCATGAGGTCGAGGCCAGCCAGTGGCCAGAACTGGAACAGTCAGGGTCTGAAGCAGCAGGGGGGTCTGGTTGGGTATCTCTGTCTTAATGTGGTCTCAGGGCTTCCGCAGGAGTCACCCCATGTGGGCTGGTTTGGGCTCATGGCACGTAAGCTTCAGGACAGCACTCCAAATGTGCCTCCAGCCCTCCAGCAGGAGTGTTTCAACAAAGCTGAACCTGCCTCACCTTTTCTGACTTAGGCTTGTGAGTCGTGTGGTATTATTTCCACCACATTCTATCAATTATAGATGAATCATAGCCTGCCCAGACTCAAGGAAAGTGGACACAGACCTCACCCCTTGATGGGAAGATTATCAGTCACACTGGAAGAAGAGCCTGTGGGAGGGGAGGGGTGGTTATGGCCATTTTTAGTAACAGTCCGCCACACTGTGGCAGTAAGCTTCACTTTGACATGGTTATGTGTCTGATGATTCCAGTATTTGAAGACTTTCAGGGCCTGCTAGTTCTCCTCCATGGTTCCTACGTACCTGGTTATTTTTGATGGCATATTGGTTATTGTATTTGAAAAATGGTTTTGAGGGTTAGAAGGAAAGTACCTTGTCCAGAAAGGATTTGGTCTGCTTTTGTCAGCTGCCCAGGGGCACTGCTATTCAGAGATCATTTTTAATCTAGTTCAGGGTCTGAATGAAAGATTAATTTTTCTGGGATTGGGAAATGCCTGCTGGGCAGAAGGGACCTTCTCGGTTAAATTAATTTTGATTTTCACTTCAGTTTTGGCCTTACAGTAACTCCTTAATGTCTTATGAGCTATTTGATGCAAGATTAAATATATATATATACATTCCAACTGACTCATTGGAAAAGACCCAGATGCTGGGAAAGATTGAAGGCAGGAGAAGGGGACGACAGAGGGTGAGATGGTTGGAGGGCATCACTGACTTGACGGACATGAGTTTGAGCAAGCTCCGGGAGTTGGTGATGGACAGGGAAGCCTGGCATGCTGCAGTCCATGGGGTCACAAAGAGACAGACACGACTGAGAGACTGAACTGATATATATATATATATGTTCTAGAACCTGTGGTTTCAGCAGGCAGGTTTGTCCTAGTAATTCAGGCCACCAGAGCTCTCTCCTCTGATCTCCATCTTTTTGCAGGTTCCTGTCCCCATTGGTTTCTGTGTGTACTTCAGGATTTTTAACTCAGGGCTTATGAGCAGCTGTAGTACCCACCCGTGGCTGGACCTGTGAACTTCTTGAAATTGAACTCAAAGCTTTTGAGCGTGGGTGAGGTTTTTCTCAGGAGGCAGGGTCCAAAGCTTCCCCTCGGAGGCATCCAGGATATAGAGGGGTCACAAGTCTATCTCTGGGAACCTTTCTCTCTCTTGGTGTCTCTGGGGGCATGGGGAGCAGAGCAGTGGGGCAGGGAAGGGGGATGGAGATGGCCACTCAGGCTGTCTCTTGCCCATAGGATGTCTCATCCAGTGACAGTGACTCGGACTGGGATGGGGGCGGCCTCCTCTCCCCACTGCTACCCCACGACCACCTCGGCTTGGCCGTCTTCTCCATGTTGTGCTGTTTCTGGCCCTTGGGCATCGCCGCCTTCTGCCTGGCCCAGAAGGTCAGTCTCTGGGTGGGGTTGAGAGGAGACTGGATATAAAAGAGAAAATGGCATTTGAAAGAAAACAAATGAGAGGAGCCCTGCTTGGGTGGGTTTGGTGGGGGGGGGTACAGGTTGGGAAGTGATGAAGAGGATTCACGTAGAAATATTCAGGGGTGAAACAAGGCGTGTTTGTCACAGAGGGGAGTGCAGAGTGAGCTCCACTCCTAGGCCCACCCCCCGGCCTCTGGTAAGGTGGTGGTCAAGCCACTTAACCTCCCTGTGCCTCATTTTCCTTATCTGTAAAATGGGGATGACTAATTCATACCTCAGGGTCATTGTGAGGCTCAATGAGTTGGAACTGTGGCATATAGTAATATATGTCTATTTTTATTAGTCGCCCAGTAAACCCAGTGCCCAGCTGTGCCTGACCCACGGTAGCTGCTGGCTGTTTTTGGAACATATGAATACAAGGGTGTGGGGGATGGAGGAGGGATGGGGCTGCGGGAAGCAGGGTGGGATGAGGGGACGCCTGAGTCACCGCTGCCCAACGCCTCTACAGACCAACAAGGCTTGGGCCCAGGGGGACGTCCAGGGGGCAGGGGCCGCCTCCCGCCGAGCCTTCCTGCTGGGGGTCCTGGCCGTCGGGCTGGGCGTGTGCACGTACGCGGCCGCCCTGGTGACCCTGGCCGCCTACCTCGCCTCCCGGGACCCGCCCTAGCTGCCCCTGCGGCCCCCGCTGTGAACCCAGAGGCCGGCTGCCCAGCACGTCTGCGGTTGGAGTGGAGAGTCCCGGTGGACGGGCGGCAGCGGCGGCATCCAGAAACGGGAGTGGGCTGGGCCGCCCCCTCCCTCCCGCCTTCCTGGAGGCCGCAGAGAGCGATTAAACACCAGACACTCTTGCCGCCAAACCTGTGTCTGTCTGAGTGTGTGGGCAGGTGGACAGACGGGGCCAGAGTGACAGGCTGTCCCCCGGGGTGTTCCTGGACACCTCAGAGCCAGAGAAGGGAGAATCCATGGAGGCTCGGAGGGCTCCCAGATGGCAGAATATTCTCTCAGAACACGGGTGGTGGGCAGGGAATTAGGGAAAGCGAGGTTCCAAGTCCTTTCTCCTCTGAGTTCACTGTGTAACGTGTGGTCTGAGCCTCACTTTTCCTCATATGCAAAATGGGACTGATTTCCCCCACAGCTGGAGCAGTTATAGACACCAAGAGTCGTACTGTCTACACAACAGTCTCCTCCTGAGTCCCTTTAACAGCAGTGGCAGAAATCCAACTCTTACACAACAAAGGGGAGGAGAACAGAGAAAGAACTGGATTCACGGTGTCTAGTGAAATGGTCTGGTCTCCCCATCTCTTGGCTTCCATTGTGCAGGCTCCCCCTCCTGGGGGAGGAAAATGGGAGTGGAAAACTCTGGTGCCACCAAGGTTGTCTTTGCCAGGCACCCTCTCATTGGCCCACCTGGGGTCCAAGGCAGCTGCATCCCACGGCCTGAGATTGGGATGGCTGGAGCCTCAAAGTGCTAGCAGGCAAAATGGCCCTGTGCCTAACGTGCTTGTCAGATACATTAAATGGGGCCTGAGGGAGTTCTCAGGTGGTCCGGCGGTTAAGACTCCACACTTCCAATGCAGGGGGTGGATGCCATCCCTGGTTGGGGAACTAAGATCCCACATGCTATGGCCACCCCCGGCTGGATATTATCAAGTAATGAAGTGAGAGCTGTTTAGTTTTCTTCACTCCACTTAACGCCATTTTGGGGTTTCCCAGGTGGTGCTAGTGGTAAAGAAAATGCCTGCCAATGCAGGAGATCGAAAAGACGTGGGTTTGATCCCTGGGTCAGGAAGATCCCATGGAGGAGGGCATGGCAACCCACTCCAGTATTCTTGCCTGGAGAATCCCATGGACAGAGAAGCCTGGTGGACTACAGTCCATAGTTGCAGAGTGGTGCACTATGAAAGCATGCATAGGCACACTGCCATTTAATCCTGCTAGAAGAAAACATTATTCACTGTCTACGCTCTCCTGAGCATTTTCACGGAGTGTAATTTCAAGCTATTTATGCATTTCCTTGGTTACTGGGGATGAAAATGACACCTGCCCAAAGGGGCAACTGTGAGTCAGTGCACCCATGTGAAGCTGCAGCAAAGGCCCCCCTCCCCCAAACGGGGGTCATTTTGTCATTTTCACCATAAACCCCCAAACGCCAGTGGCAGACAGGATCTGGCAAGCATGTGGCCCACCTGTGGGAATGTTTTTCCTTGCAGAATGTTGCATCTTCTTGGCTCCTGCCCCCTAAATCTGAGGGTGGGGATCAGTCAAATCAGAACTGAAAACATACCTGTTTCCAGAAGCCCCTTATGGGGTGCTACCACCTGACTGAGAACCAACAGGCCTTGGCCACTTCCATTCACCGTCAGGGACCTGAGGTCTAGAGTGTGCTGAGTCTCTTGGGGTCTGAATAGTGGGGGCTCTGGGTCTGGACTCTGAGCAAGGACGCATGTTCCACCACTAACTAGCTAGTGACCTCCGGTAGTTAACTGGCTCCTAAGGTTGTTTCCTTACCTTAAAATAGGGACCGTAACAGCCCCACCTCAGGGGGTTGCTGGATAAAGGCAGTGCTCAGAGGCAGATTGCCCTCCAAGGCACACGAAGCCCGTTGTCTCCCTGACCATCTCTTCCCTCCCTACCGCCCTCCTTTCCTCTGCTCCAGCCACACCAGCCATCCTGCTGGTCCTTGAACCTCTGCCTATCTCTGCCAAGGGGTCCTCCCCCCACGTGTCCATGAGTCTCTAAGCTCATCCCTGGCCTCCTTCTGGACTTCCCTTGGATGCCCCCTCTCCACAAAGGTGTCCCCAACTGATGTATTGAATCTGTCCCCTTCCCTCACCATGAACTCACCTAAACCCCCCTTTAAAAAAATTTTTGTATTGTTTTATTTTTTAAATAGCATCCACCATCCAACACACACTACTGTTATTTGTCTATCACCTCACCGTTCCTCGAACCTGGGCCTCATTCACTGCTGAGGCCTTAGCACCCAGCAGGCTTTGCACACTCTAGCTGCAGTCTCGGCTTCCTGGGGCTGTTAGAATGAGTAGCTTCATTCAGTGAGTGCACTACCCTACCAGTGTCTTCCTGGAGTGGGGTGGGGTCTGTGCCCGTCCCCCATGCCCAGGGAGGGGGCTAGCTAGCCACTTTTTTCTCGCCAGGGCCGGCCTGCTGGCTTCTTTGACGCTGGAGGTGGCGGGAGGGGCGGCCTGCCCTGGCTTGCCTCAGCTCTTGGAGTAACGCCTCTGCAGTGATTCCCGGTAGAAGCGGAAGACGTGTGTGGAGGCAGTCTGGGCCGCAGCCAGGCACTGCTGGAGCTGGGAGGGGAGAGGGCGGTCAGTGCCGGGGGCCCCACCTGACTCCCAGAGCCCCCCAAACTTAACACCTCCCCTTCCACTAGGAGCCCCTCTCCCCAGGGGAGGGTGGTGGTGAGGGGGTTACTCCATGTGCATTCCCATCTTCCCCACTTCATGGCCTCCTTAGAGAAGGCTTCAGGGCTGATTAAAATAGCTCCAGGCCCTCAGACCAACAGCATCAGGCATCCTGCCCCCTGGAAGCATTCCCAGGCTCATTGAGCTCCGGACCCAGAGAGATTGGAATTTTAGACCCAGAGGCCCTGTGACTCCAAATACTCTTAAAAGCCATGGAACTTGAGACCCCAAATCTTTACTGCCGTGTATACCTGGATTCACAGGAGGGCCAGGTGGTAAATGTTCTTGGTGACCATTTGGTGCCAAACTCTGTTCAGACACCCCGAACTCTGGGGTGCAAGGCTCTGAGCTGAAAGCTGGGAGGCCTTCAAGTGCCCCATGTCCTGATTTCCACCTGAACCCCTCTTCTCATAAACTGAGAAGGTCAAATTCCCACAAAAGTTTCCATGGCCACAAAGTTTAAAAACTCCTATTTACAGAAGGGGTGCAAGGAAGGGGTTCCCCTTAAGCCTCTTAGAATAGTGACCAGACCTCATGTCAGGTGGGTGGGAAGGATCTGGCGTTTACCCCCAATTGAGCAGTGGTACCTCGGCATCGGAGTAGAGCCCCTTGGTGGTGGACATCAGCAGCTTCCGTTCCACGCTGTCAAGAGCAAAGGTCAGGACTGCCCGGGCCTCCTAGGAATGAGAGGTACAAGGTGGAAGACCTGGGACCCTCCTCTCAGATATAATCACAGCTGGCCCCAAAGCCAGTGTGTGTTTGTGTGTGTGTGGGGGGGGAGTTGCTTTTTCTGCAGCCAGGCCCTCAAGTAGCAAGTATTATTTGAGGGGAGTCTACACATCACCCCCTCCCTGGGGAATTGCTCCCCATGTGATCCCATCACATGGTTCCAACAGGGCTTTCCAAAGCACAGTATCCTGCATCAGAGGAGCAGCCACAGTAATGGTCATCTCCCAGTGCCTCCCAGCAGTGCTCTGTTCTCTGGGGCTGGAAGCCAGCAAGCTGTATTCCCAGGTTCCCCTGCCAGTTTGCTTCTAGCAGGAATCTGGTGGGAGACAAGAAAGGAAGGAGAAAGCAGCATCCAGGTCCTCAAAGGAGTTTGGGGCATATCACCTGCCACAGTCATTATGGAGACGGGGCGGCTGTGGACCTCAGCAGCCAGGCAAGAGCCAGACTGTTTCCATTAGATCTGACTGTTCGCGTGTCCCCAACAGCACCCAGCAGGAGCTGGCTTCAGGCTTCTCATCTAGGGGTGGAGGGGGTCCTCCCTTCTTCCCTTTTGCTTCTTCAGCTCTTCCAACATGGCTGTTGTGACCAGTTCAATCCCCCCACTACTGTCTGAAGCCCCCGAGGGATTTCTTTCTGCTTTCCCAACTGGATGTGACTGTCACAGTCCTGAGCAGAAAACTGGGAATAACCAGAGCCCCAGCATATTGTGAACTTGAGCCACTGAAGAAACTCTGATTTTTTTGCTTTTGTTTTTGAACCTCTTAAAATCAACTCCCTTGTCACTTCAGCAGGTTAGAGCTGGGTTTCTAGCAATTGCCCAGAGGAACAGAGCAGAGCTTGCCAGCTGAGCCTGAGGTGGTACCAGCCAACTGTTTCGGAGAAGCGAGGCCCAGAGGAGGAGGAGAGGGAGGGTGCCTGCCCAGGGCCTTTCATCACCCTGCCCTTCATCCTTACCTTTTCCTGTTTAGCAGTAGGGTCTAGCATGAGGGTCCCATCAGAGTCCAGAGCACAAGTGACCCCACAGAAGAGGGCCCGCATGGGCACACCAGCGTCCACCAAGGCCATGCAGGCGGCATTCAGGCAACAGGCCAGGAGCTGAGTGCCACAGGCAGTGGTTAAGAGTTTCTTTTTTAATCCTTTTTTTTGGGACCACTCTATGTGGCTTGTGGCATCTTAGTTCACCCACCAGCAATTGAACCCGGGCCCTCAGCAGTTACAACGCAGAGTCCTAACCACTGGCTTGTCAGGGAATTCCCATGTTAAGAGTTTCTACTGAAGCTTGGTCAGCAGAACACATCCATGACTCTGGTTCACCAGGCCAGTGCCTGTGAACACCAGACATCTAACTGATCACACAAAGGCAGAGTAATCCTGGGATCTACTATCCTTGGGTTCCAAACCTGAACTGCTACCTCTAAGCTGTGTGACCTTGAACAAGCTACTTACTCTCTCTGAGCCTCAGTCAGGGATCACAGTGATACTCAGCAGGTATGCACCTTCAGGGAAACAAAAGTCAGAAGCCTTTCAAGATAGAACAAGGACGCAGTGGCAGAGCCAGGCCCGGGGCTGGGGAATCGAGCAAGCAGTGCTACCAGGTGACAGACTGGCAGGATGACGGAGGGAGGAGTTAAGTGTCCTCAGGGAGCCCGCAGTCCAGGGGAGAGGTGTGGCCCTGGCCCTGTGCAAGGTGAGCACAGGTCTGAGTCAGACAGCTAGCCCCAGCTTAGTTTCCTCAAGTCTCTCCTCCCCAGGGCCCAGCTTTACAATCAGTCAGTCAGCCCCACCTCTGCCACTGACCCTCCATTATCTCCCATCTGTGAAGTGGGTTCACAGTGATCCGCTTCCCCCATCTGTGAAGTATCTGCCCAACACAGGGCCACACACACACACCCACAAAGCTGTCTAGAAATGCCCATTTCTGGGCCTCTGCCTCTCGCATCCAAACTGCAGCCACATTCCAAGGATGAGCTGCTGAACCAAAGGCTCTGCCTGCTCTCAGGGCTCCTGCAGTGTTGACCCTCAAATTCAAGCTCAGGATCAGAGATGAGGTCAATGGCACAGGCTCTGGAGTCAGAGAGGTGAATTCTGCATGTGAATTCAGCCTCTGCTGTCTTCCAGCTGTGACCTTGGGTAAGCGAACTCCCCTCTTGGCCTTGGTTTCCTCACCTGAAACATGAGACGAGGACCCAGCTGCTAGGGCCTTGAGCTCTAGAACCATGTGGCTGGGCACTGCCAGTTACTACAAGTGTGAGTTGTCCGCGCTGTATAAATTGCCTGCCACACAGTAAACACTCAAGCCGTGTTTGCTGTTCCTACAAGCTGACATCTGTCAAGCAGACGAGGAGAGGGTGTGTACATGGCCATCGGCAAGACGGGCAATCAATGAGATTCTGGAGGACTTCCTGGAGGAAAGGATACAGAGCCAGCATCGCTAACGACCTGCAGCACCACAGTTATGGAGGTGCGGGGGTGCAGCGCTCCCAGTACCACTGCTTCGCATGTGTTTCTGATCAGCCGCTCCCGGCTCTTCTCCGCTACGCCTGCAGAAATCAGGGGTGGGGTTGGGCTGTCAGGCTCTTCCTGTCCAGCTGGCTCACCTGTCTCCATATGCCCCACCCAAGCCTCCAGAAAAGGGCCTGCAGTCTCAGCCCGGGAAGATCTTGCAGGGATGACAGAGGAATCCCAGGGGGAGGAAGGTGGGGCTGACTGCCACCCACTTGATGCCCGCCACCTCCAGTGCCCACCAAGGGAGCCTCTCGGTGGCGGGGGAGACCCTCAGAGCTCTCCCATGTCATGCTGCTGTCCATTCTCATCCCAGTGCCCCCGGCCCTGGGGAGTGAGGGGGGCAGACAGTAAAAGGGTGGAAAAACAGATTAATGGAAAGGAGGAGAGATGGAGCCAGGAAAGAAATGAGGGGAAGTGAAGATGGAGAGAGACAGGGAGAAAAGTGATAGAGACGTACAGGCAGACAGCTGGCAAAAAAAGACAGAAATAGCTGAGGGGAGATGAGAGGAGGAGTGGAGACCAGAAAGGGCAGTGATGGGGATACTGGGCGAGAGGACCACTTACCAGGCAGACCAGTCTTCGGCCTCAGGATCACTTCCAGCGTGGCCTTGTTGAAGATCTCTTTGCTGACCTTCACCTCAGCTGGCCCATACACGCCGGCCAGGACGGAGGTATCCCCTGGGGAGACAGCGTGGGAGAGCTCACCCGCATCTTCCCTGCCTCTGGGGTCTGACACGAGGCACTTAACATGGTGGGCCCTGAGCTGGGTGGCCAGGGGTTACCACATCACCCTCACTCTGGCCCACCACTTGTTGGCAGTGATTCCTTGAGCATTTGCTTCCTGTCTCTGCCTCCACTTCCTCATCTGTAAAATGAAGATAACTACAGTATGTCCCTGGGACTTCCCTGGTGGTCCACTGGCTAAGACTGCGCTCCCAATACAGAGGACCTGGGTTCGACCCCTGGTCAGGGAACTAGATCCCACATGCTACAGCTAAGAGTTTGCATGCTGGAACTAGACCTGGTGCAGCCAAAAAAAAAAAACAAAACAAAACAAAACAAACACAAACACCTACAGAACATCCTTCACAGCTATGAGGATTAAATGAGATAAAAACAGAAACACTTAGGATGCTGCCTGCAAATTTGCTGAGGGCCCAAAGGACTTTAGCTACTATTATAAACTTTAACAGGAAGTTCTTCCTGAGTGCTAACCTTCCTCTTTCTTACTGCTACTAGTCCCAACTTCTCCTTCCAAAGCTTCCCCCAGGCCAAGTTCTCTTCCCTCTGGCTCACATGCCCAAACTCTGCAGCAGTCAGGACACCTGAGAAAGGGATGAATATCTAGGGCTGGGTCCTGACACCTGCTTATTTCCTCCTGGCTCTGTAATCTCAGCTGATTTTGCTTACTTCTCTGGGCCTCAGTTTTCCCATCAGCAAAATGGGTAGACTGGACTACAAGAGCAGCTTCCAAACATTCCTGATCCTAACTCCCTGTAAGAAATACATTCTAGACTCAAATACATTTCAGGACCCAAAACTCACAGAAATCTGTGTGGATGTAAATGAACGGATGCCTCCCAAAACAACTCTTACTGTTACTGCTTTGATGTACTCGGATATTTTCTACTCTATCTCAGTTACAAAGAACCACTAAAGGGGACTTCCCTGGTGGTCCAGTGGTTAAGAATCCGCCTTCCAATGCAGGGGATACTGGTTCGATCCCTGATCAGGGAACTAAGATTGCACATGCCGTGGAGCAACTAAGCCCATGCGCAATTAAAACCTGACCTGACCAAAGAACAGAAATAAAACGGAAACAAAAAGAAAAACCCACTAGTGAACACAGTAGTTCTCAACCCTGTATGCACACTGGGCTCACTGCAGAACTTTAAAAAGATCTAGATGCCCAGGCCACTCTCCTAGAGAGCCTTAATTCTATTGCTGGGGGCTGGGGCTCAGGTACTGGGAGCCTCAGAGCTCCAACAGGCCATTCTAACGTGTAGCTGGGCCTGCAACTCGCAGTGGGAAGACATGGAGCTCCAGCACGGCTTCAGAACACAGGCCTGCAACCAGAATCACTACGGCAGATCATTTAAAAATACAGAGGACTGGCATCCGTGGGTCGGGAAGATCCCCTGGAGGAGGACATGGCAACCTGCTCTAGTATTCTTGCTGGGATAATCCCATGGGCAGAGAAGCCTGGCTGACACAACTGCGCGACTAAACAATAAGGACAAAGAGGGCTGGCCTTAGTTGGTGTAGGTGGGTTCTGGGGCTTGGCATTTTTAACCTCACTGGAGAGTCTAGTGAGGGTTTGCAGAGGACCCTGCTGTAGGGTCCTGGGCTTTGGGGTTTTAGAACCTACAAGGGGCTCAGTATTTCTTTCTTTTTTAGAACACACAAGGGGCTCAGTATTTCTTAAATTCTAAGAACCTTTAGGTAGCTGCCCTAAGCAAGACAGCTAAGCCTGGGGAGGTCCCAGGTAGAAGCTTTTTTTTTTCTGGGGCTGGGGAGGGAGAGCTGCCATACAACTGAGGGACTCTTTTGGCTCCAGGAGAAGGGACTTTGGAGACGGAAATTATCCAAGCAGAACTAGATCCGCACTGGATCTAGTAACTTCCTGTTACTCCAAAGGCACTGTCTTTGCTTCACCTGGGCACAAGAGTGCCTCCCTTCTCATCTTCCCAAGGCCATGGCTCTAGCAATTCCCTCCTCTCTGGGCCCCACATCCATCTAACTCCTGGCCCATCTATCTTATCCTCTTATAGCAAAGCTCCTGAAGAGCTGTCTCCTCTCACTGACTCTTTCTTTTCCTCCTTGACTCCACCCCTCCACTGGAACAGTTTTTTCTTTTTTAAATTTTACTTATTATTTTTGGCTGTGCATTGGGTCTTCGTTGTGATGCGTAGGTTTCTTACTGCAGTGGCTTCTCGTGCTGTGCAGCACAGGCTCTAGGGTGTGTGGGCTGAAGTAGTTGTGACGCAAGGCATGTGGAATCTTGCTGGACCAGGGATCGAACCCATGTCCCCTGCACTGGGAGCTCAGAATCTTAGCTAGGGAAGTCCCAGAGTGACTCTTGGTTGCACCACCTACAACAGACAACCAAGTTGTCAACCCACAGGTCTAGTCCATCCTCACATGATTCAGTCTCTCAGTGGGACCAAAACAGTTGGTTGGTCCTTACATTTCAAACACGTTCTCTGGGTTCCAGGTCACTGCCCTCTCTTGGTTTTTCTCCTACCTTACTAGTTGCTCCTTCTCAATGTCTTTTCCTAGTTCCACCCAGGCTAGAAGGTACAGGGCTAAGTTCTAAGTTCTTCTCTTCTCCATCTACATCAATTTTCTTGGTGATTCTATCCAATCAGTAGCTTGAACCGCCATCTAGAGCCAAAGGACCCCCAAATTCCAGTCTTGTATGTCCTATTGCTGAATCCACACTGCCATGGGAAAGTCTATTAGGCACTGCAAATGTAATGCTCCCAATTGAACTCATTTTCTCCCAGCACAGCTGGTCTGGGTAAAAAACTTTAGCGTTATCCCTGACTCTGTCATACCTCCAAACCAACCACCTGCAATTTGTCAGTTTTACCTTCAGACTCTCACGACCTGTACTGCTTCCACTCTAGGCTGAGCCACCCTCCTCTCCTCCTTTCCCCATGCCCTTTGCCGTCAACACTGCCGCCAAAAGTCTAAAACCTATAAAAATATATTCAGAGCATGTCACACGGCTCCATTCTCAGTCACCAGACTGAGGGGCAGGCCTCCATAAGGGGCAGGCCTCCTTACCTCCGCTCCACCTCTTGTCACTGCTGCAGGCAGCCCTGTTCCCTCCAAACCAACCACCTGCAATTTGTCAGTTTTACCTTCAGACTCTCACGACCTGTACTGCTTCCACTCTAGGCTGAGCCACCCTCCTCTCCTCCTTTCCCCATGCCCTTTGCCATCAACACTGCAGCCAAAAGTCTAAAACCTATAAAAATATATTCAGAGCATGTCACACGGCTCCATTCTCAGTCACCAGACTGAGGGGCAGGCCTCCATAAGGGGCAGGCCTCCTTACCTCCGCTCCACCTCTTGTCACTGCTGCAGGCAGCCCTGTTCCCCTGACTGTTACTCAAACACACCAGGCAAGTTTTGGCCTCAGGGTCCTGTGGTTCCTAATGCTTCATAAGCTTTCCTCTTGATCTCTTTGGGGTTTGCTCCCCACTCCACCCCAGCAAAAAGCCAATTTTAGGGGAAAAAACTGCCTTAAAAATTTTTTATTTGACTGCCCTAGGTCTTCATTGCAACATGTGGGATCTTTAGTTGGGGCATGTGAACTCCTAGTTGTACCATGTGGGATCTAGTTCCCTGACCAAGGACTGAACCCAGGCCCCCTGCATTGGGAGCTCAGAGTCTTAGCAAGTCCCATCTTTAAGTGTTTATTCAAAAGGTACCATCTCAGTTGATGCCTTTCCTGACCATCCTAACTAAGACTGCAACCCTCTCTGGCACACCCCATTCTACATCCTTACTGGATTTTTCTCCAGTTTTTTACTACATATTTTATTTATCTTTTGCCTGTCTCTCTGACTAGAATGTAAGAATGTCCAATCCGTTGTTGCAGGGACTTTATTCTCAGTGCCCAGAACAATACTAAGCAAAGGTACATGTTCACTGAAAGAATGAATGAAAGCAGGTTTTGTATCTGGGTTTCAGGTAATGCCCTAGAGCAGGGTCTGAAGCATTTATGGGAGTGACCCTTAGGCCTATCTCCAGAGGAATATTTCCTTCAGAAGGGTCAGGGATTTGAGTCTAGTTTCAGAGTTGTTTAGCTAGGAAAAGGGGATATTTCCGTAATAGGTAAGAACTGCCCCAATCTTAGGGCTATAGGGAGATTTGTGTATCCCAGTCAAAGGGACATTTACCCAGGAGGTGGGGCTGGGGATATCACCATCAATATGAGAAGTAACTATTTGGATAAAAGATCCGCCACCGGTCTAGGGAGTAAACCGGAAGTGCTGATCTGACAGTCCACAGGGTATTCATGGAAACAAACAGGTTTGCCTCAGCCTGGGATGTATGGACCCAGGGTGCGTGTGTGGGAAACCGGAAAGGAACCTAGTCAAGGGAGACACCCGGTTAAGAAGGTTTCCCCTATTCTGGAGTATTCATTCTTTAGAGGCGGTCTGCCCTCTCCCATTCTTTGTACTTAACAATCTTCTCCTTGCTAGTCTGGAGGAAGAGATATATGTCTACCTGCGTATGCAGGAGTATCCACCCCGGCAAGAACTGCACTAGTTCAGGAGAGATTTTTACCAGCTAACGCAGTACACTGTAACCGCCCCCCAAAACGAATACAACCTACGTAGTTCCTACCTTGCAGAAAAGAGGCAGAGCCATCAGGCCGGGACAACAAGTTCTGTTCGCAGGCAAAGTGCCGGAGGCTACAGCCGGGGCCCCGAGGGCCGTGCTCTGTCCCAGAATCAGCCCGGATCTTCGATTCAGTCTGCATTGCCCCCTCCATCACCCCGGAGCCCACGTGCAGCCGGGGGCTGTTGCTTCCGCCCAGAAGTGCGCGCTTGCGTACGAAGTGCGTACTCAGTACGCATGCGCCGACCCGCGGGCTCCTGGAGGGGCGCCCGCACGTGGCTCGGCGTTTACTAACAATCTGGGCCCTCCCACTCCCGCCTCGGAAGTCTGGGAAAGCTATTGGACAGAAGAGAAGAGTGGGCGGGCCTTGGCTTGAGCTCATCCTACCCGAGGCCCCCGGCTCTGAAACCCTGAGGCTCTGGACGGGTTGTCCTCTTCTTTGCCTGTTACAGGAATAACTAATGTGAGGCAGTCAGAGTAATTTTGGGGAAGTTAGGTGGCCTTATGCAGCTACATGTGTGTCCTAGAGGCTGCAGAAGTAGTAGCGTATGGTTTCGTGGCAGGGTGTTGCTGGCATTTGAGTCAGGCTTATGAAGGGGCAGCCTCGGTCTCGCCGAGGAGAAGGGCGGATCTCCGAGGGATGGTCAGTCAAGATGGCCGTGGCGGCTGCAGTGGCGAAGGTTTGGGGACCAAGTCGAGGCTTGAGACGGGCCGGCCTCCCGCTCCTGCGGCTGCTTGGGGCTCGTGGGCTGGCTAGATCTGTGAGTACCTGGGGCACCTGAGAGTTTTCTCCAAGGAGGTATCGGAATGTTTATGCCTTCTTCAGAGTGAGGGGGGGGGGGGTCCCTTAGGTCCGTGAAGGAAGGGCTGTTAGAGAAAGGACGAGGGCTGGGAGAACCACTTGGACAGGACATGCAAGGGAATAACTTACACTTCCTTAAGAGAAGAAAAGCCAGGCAGCTCCTTTGTGACCCTAAGGGAGGGAGAAAACTTGGAGAGAGCGAGAGAGTTTCTTAATTGCCACCCATCCCCAGGGGAGGCCGCTTGGAGAACACGGGAGAAGGGTGTGATCTCTCCCCTCAGGAGCTGGAGAAAATTGTGTTTGTAAGGGAAGGGCTTTCTTCTCAATAAAGAGTCCACTTTCAAGGAGGAGCAGAGAGACATCAGTTGCCCTTTCAGGGGCTTTTATGGTGCCCCGTGTTTCTTTGCTCCAATTCTTACTTTTAAATAAACTGCGTAAAAAAAAAAATAGTCGTTCTGGGACATCCCTGGTGGTCCAGTGACTAAGACTCCGCGCTTCCAATGCAGGGGCTTGGGTTTCATCCCTGATCAGGGAACTACGTCCCACATGCCGGCAGTTAAAAGAGTTCGCATGCCGCAACTAAAAATCCTGCATGCTGCAACTAAGACCCAGTGAGGCCAAATAAATAAAGATAAAATACTTATAAAAAGCCGTGGATATTGTGCCTCCGATATAGAACGATAGCCAAGGGCCTTGTCGGTTTTGGTCACTCTAAGGAGAAGGTGATCAGTGGATATTTACTGAACTAATGAGGGGAGAGGTTCTGGCAGAACACTTAGTCCGTATTTCTTAGAAACAGTGGAGAAATGCCTTGTTTCTTGTCAAAAGGTGCAGACTCCCTTTAGACTAATGCTGCTAATGGCAGACTCGCACAGCAGAAATGTAGATGGGAACCACTATTTAGAGGGAGAGAGGAAGGGGGCTGAAAAAAGCTGTGAACTGAGATTTTGCATATAAGAGTGTAGTGGTTAAGAAGATTGGCTCATGCTAAATCATGTGAGGCCGTGTTCTGTAATCTACCACTTTCTAGCTCTGTAGCTTTGGTCAAGGGACTACTCTTCTCTGGACCTGATTTTCCTCTCTGTAAAATGCTAACAATGGTCACCTCATAGAGTTGTTGTGAAATTAAGTATGTAAAATGCTAAGAACTGGATCTGGCATATGATGAGGGCAATTGGAAGTGTTAGCCACTGTTGAAAGTGAGGTTGGAGGGAAGGGACAAAAACTGACCTTGGAGATGGGGGGTGGAGGGGAAGAAGGGAGCTCACCTGGGAAAGGCCTGGATTGGTGAAGGCCTTGGCGGGAATTCTATCCAGATCTTGTGGGGTTGGGTCTGACCTTCTGATCACCAAGCCATTAGGAAGGGAAGATGGAATCTGGGAAGAAGCTCTTGCTAGAGGGAGAAATGGGAGGAGGATGGGCTGTGAATAATGTGTGGGAAGACCTGAGAAGGGAAGTCATTTGAAGCAGGTAATTTCAGAAAGGTTACTGGAGCAAGAGGGAGGTGGGAGAGTCCCTGCCTTTGGGCTGATTTCTGTGGGGGTTTGGTTTTGATTTGAGCAGTCAAATCCTCCACAGCTCCATCCCTGGAGCCCATTGGTTGAGCCTGTGGAGTGAGGGTGAACTTGACTGGGTGGGAGGAGGGAAGATCACTCATGGCTGGTTAAATCTGCCTCCTTTGGCTCAATCTCCTTGCTAGTCTTCCCTCTTGCCTTCCCTCTTTTTTTTTTTTTTTTTTTTTTGAGCNTTTTTTTTTTTTTTTTTTTTTTTTTTTTTTTAGTGAGGTCATTTGTTGGCAGGGAGGGAAGCAGAGGGGTGGTCTTTCATTATATATTTGGCTATACTGGGTCTTCCCTAGCAGCAGGAGGGAGCTAGTTCCTTGACCGGGGATCGAACCTGGGCCCCCTGCTTTGGGAACGTGGCTTAGATTGGGAATCAGTCACTGGACCACCAGGGAAGTCTGTGTATTTTGAGAGCCCCTGTTTCTTCTTCTCCACTTTAAATTATCTCACTTGTTTTTCTTAAGCTTAAAAAAACTTTTTTTTTTTTTTTTTGAGGGAAGAAGAAGGAGTAGTAGCATTTACTCAAAGATCTGGGGCCTGGTGTGTCCAGTAGCACCTTCCCTCATGACTCAGATGGTAAAGAACCCGCCTGCCAATGCAGGAGACACAGGTTCGATTCCTGGTTCAGGCAGATCTCCTGGAGAAGAGAATGGCAACCCACTCCAGTATTCTTGCCTGGAGAATCCCATGGACAGAGGAGCCTGGTGGGCTGACTTTTTGTGATGATATCCATGTTGTTCAGTACGGTAGCCACTAACCACCCATGGCTACTGAGCCCTTGAAATGTGGCTAGTGTGACAGAGCACTTGAAGTTCTCATTTAACTTTAATGACTTTAAATAGCTGGAAGAGGTTGGTGGCTGCTGTATTGGATGATGCAATTTTAGCCAGTCACGGTGGAGTCAGGAGATTGTATCTTGGAGGCAGGTTGGGAGGCTGTGTTTGTAGTGGACTGGTTGGGTTGTTGGGGCAGGCAGTGTTGGGAGGAAGGCTCCTCGTCTCCACCCACCCCTCAACCCCCGCCTGCTTGCCTCTCCTTTCACTCCCCTTTACTCACTCTGTGCCCTGTTGCCCTGGAGGCATTTGGCTGGTTCTGCCCTCAATCCTGTTTCTAGCAGACATTTTATTATTCAGGGAGAAAAGGAAGAAGGGAACTTGGTTGTCCCGGAGTCCTGAGTTGTTTTCTCAACCACCACCCCAAGAAGCAAGTGTGATCTCGATCAGGTCACTTCGCTTCTCTGAGCTTTGGCAGGTGGGGTGACCAGAGTGCCTCCTGCCCAGCAGGGAATCAGGGAGCACCTCAAAGCTGGGTCTGTGTGACTTATCAGTAATGTTATCTCCCGGACCCTGCTGTTCAGGCAGTGTGTCGGGGGCTCTAGCACTCCAGGGCCCTGTGTAGCATCTCCATGTGGTTGGTGCCCAGAGTATATCGCAGCATGAAACCATAGGAGTTCATCTCCCTATTGGTTGGTGTCTTAATGAAGCACTTTATCATTGACAGGGCCAACTCATACCATTGTTATATTTAACACTGCAAGGTACGTACTGGTAGTTTTCTTCTGTTACAGGGGAGGAAACTGAGGCTCAGAGAGGTGAGGTCTGAACTTGGAGCTCTGGACTCCAGAACTGCCCGGAGAAGCAGGGGCAGGACTTCGGTTCAGGTCTTACCATATCCTGCTTAATCCAGACTGGGTGTGCATCGTCAGCCTCTGCCTGGGGCTGGTGGCAAGGTGGAGTGCCCTCTCCTCCCTGCACTTCAGCTCCACTGGCATTTTCCCTTCCCTTGGGTGAGCTCCCACCACCTGGGTAGGGATATGGTCTCTCCAGTGTGGGCAGACAGGGCATTTCTTCAGAGAAGCTTTCCCACCCCCACCACCAGTCTCAATCTGTAGAACAGGGACAGTAGCAGTACCTCCGTCGGAGAGAGATGGTGAGGGTTAAAGGAAACAGTTCTTAGGAAGCACTTATGACACTTACGTAGGGCTTTCCTGGTGGCTCAGCAGAAAAGAACCCTCCTGTCAAGCAGGAGACTTGGGTTCAGTCCTCGGTTGGAGAAGACCCCCTGAAGAAGAAAATGTCAATATTCTTGCCTGGAAAATCCTATAGACAGAGGAGCCTGGTGGGCTACCGTCCATGGGGCTGCAAAGAGTCAAACCCGACTTAGTGACTAAATCACCACCACCACCACCCACACCATGCACTCCATGAAGGCTCAAGAAACGGGAGCTGTTGTTTTTTTTTCCAGGGATGGGGACACTGGTGTGGCTCTGACTGATGCAGAGCAAGGACGCTTTACATCTTCAGTGACTTGGGGAGCTTAGTGCTACAAAACCCCCCGGGTCCCTGAGGCCAGAAAAAGCCTGACCTGTCTCCACCCTTCCCTGGCCTCCCCAGTCAGGCCCCCACCCCTCTCTGGCCCCAGGAAAGGGAAGCCACTAATGTGGATGCGACATTCTCAGCTGGAAGTAGAGCCAGGGTTTAGCTCTCTTTGAGGGCAGTGTGCCTCAGATCCCAGAGAGTGCTGGCTGAGGTGACATTAGCCATCCTAGCTTCAGAGGACCCGGTTCCCTGGCCCCATCCACAGAGCTGTCCCAGGCTGGACCCCGCCGTCCTCTCCAGCTTCCCTGTGGTGGTCAGGCTGCCTGGCTTCATAAGCTGACATCGCCACTCCCGATCTCCTTGGATCGCAGACAAGTTGCCTAAACCCCCTGAGCCTCGGGGCCACCTCTCATGGCGGTGTGGTCATGGTGCCCTCCTCGGGTTCAGTGGGACATGGACATCACCCAGCACGGGCCTGGTGTGGCCCGGACGCACATCCTTAACTGCTGTCATTAACGTGCTGCAGCCAGAT